GGCCTCTTCACAAGTTAAATGTCTGGGCGTAGCTTGGAGAGGCTCAAAAACCTCTACAGACACAAGTTCCATGAACCAAAAGGGTGGCGAGATTGCTTGCCCTGCCGCTTTGGGAGGCCACTGTCAAGGCAAGCTAGGTTTGCTTTTGCCACGCGCCCAGCTATCTACCCAGCGCGGCATACTTTCCGAGCCCTGGCACTTCGACGGCCCCAGTCACGACCAAAGATGGTGCGGGTGTTGTCCTGGCCGTTCGGGGGCCAGGGTTCGCGGGGTTGGGGTCCCGGGCATCTAGGTTCGTGGGTTTGTTTAGGGCTTAGGGCTGTGGGGTTACCAATAGCTCTCGGCATATGCCAAGAAATCAACTGAGAGAGGAAACCAGACAGAGCGAAACAAACAAGAGCCCCACACAGAGGGTGGGGTTTGCGCCAAGTAGCCCCAGAGTGAGACCGTGAAAACCCCAAGAAAGCAAAGATGCTTCTTCTTGGGTGCTAGGCTCCTTGACAGTCAATGGCCCAAATCTTAATGAATATAGGCGGGTAGCTTAGTACATCCTGGGGCTGGGGGGGTCCTATTTGCAGGGTTTTGCTTTCTGTTATTAAGGTGGGGGATGCTGTATTGAGAGGCAGGTCGATCCTTTTGCTACAGGCTTGCTGGGTTCCCGCCTGGACTGAAGCTGCTCATGTTCACCCACTTGCTCCCCGGATGCTGTTCTCTAGAAAAACTTGCACCTTTCAGGGATGAGCTCTCTGACATTATCCTGGGGCTACTGACCAGCTCGCGAATTTCGCCTTGCGAGTGTTCGTGCTGTCTTCTCAGGTTCAGAGCCCCATCCCATGAAGTTCATATGGCACAGCTTTGACCAACTCGTGTTTCTTTGCCTGCTGGGCAAAGGAATCAGGTTGCATAGCTGAGCAAAAGGACCCAAGTCCCAAGTCTCATTTTCATGTCTGGCGCCTGCAAACTGACAAACCCTGCAGACGGAAGCGTCATTGTAAGAACTCACAGCACTCATGCCACGAACATACTCGGGGTCCCCTGTACCCTCCTGGCCCGGGCCACCTGGCCCGGGCCACCTGGCCCCCTGACAATGCAGCAGGGTACCCCTCTGAAGTAAAATTCACAGAACCATTAAAGGCCCAATCCCATATCAGCAACTTGTTGAATTGCTTAGCCTTTACAATTGTAGTTTAGAGGTTGGTGGAATGTGGGGCAGATGGGGGCTCACACCCGGAGTGCTGTAACGAGGACCCTTGATAGACTACCCTGCGCGTCTCACCACCTGCCCCCGTTACATTTGCCTGCCACAAGCACGGCTGCCTCACACACATAACAACCCCCCCAACCCCCCCGCCCCCCCTCCCCCCCCCTCAGCAAAAAGCAAAACAGACACCCTCAAACCCTGCAAAGTCCGCGCCGGAAAGGCCGAGAGCCAGGCGATCAGGGGCTCTACGAAGAGGCTTAGCAGGGTGCCTCGGCTGGCATGCGTTGACGCAGGCTTCAGCATTGAGGGTTCAAGGGCCCAATCCAGCCCCCCCAAAAAGCCATCGGGGATGTCGGCTACACCATCAACCCAGGGAGCTCCATAACTCATTGTTTGGGGAATCTTCCGTAAACTATCCAGGGGGGGTTCCTGATCATGAGGTAAGGTCGGTTCCTCCATCAAGGGAGATGGAGCGTGGCGTTAGGCTGTCGGCCTGTGACAAAGCCGGGGCTGCGGGCCCTGGCTGATTTGGGGGGGCTTTGCATCAGGATTGCAAAGAAACGCCTAAACCTTTCACCCCTCCATGCTGAACTCGCTTGACCTTTCAACTCGTTAAGCCCTAGCTTTGGCTCGGCCCAGGTGCTGAAGACCAAGGCTGCCGACCTCCGGGAGGGCTGCGTCTTGGGGCTTCTGGTCCGTTATACACAGGATTTCCAGTCTAACTTGAGGTTCTATTTCTTTTGATTTCAGAGCAGCTGGGGGAGCCCTGGGCTCATCAAGTGCTTGCTGGGACTGCTCCAAAAGGTTTTTCTTGCCACTAAGACCCAGCTGACACCGCGCATGCCACTCTGCAGGCACACTGCTATGCTTAGTCGCAATGCTTGACAGACGTCGGCGTCTGTAACTCCGAATTATGAATTACAACTTAGAGGGTTCTGCAAATGCACAAATCGACACTCTACGAATCGGAGCTGGGCGCCGGGGTTAAGCCATAGGTGGCATGATGTCACGATATGTCACGCCACCCCCACGTACACACTCGATTTGAACGAAGCCGCCCCATGCGCGCAAAGCCATGACAGTTACCACGAATCCCCACGTGCACGCTCCATCCAGCAGAATCCCTGCCATCGGAGAAAAACGCACGCGGCATGAGATGTGTGTCAACATGATCCGGACCGCTTGACTTTCATGAGGCTGCCCAGGCATATCCCCAAGCCTATCCCAAGTACTCGCACGTACTGAACGTTGATCTTGCAAGACCGTGCCTTTTCCCCATGTGCGTACCCGAAAACTTAAAACCTGTAGAACCGAAAACGGACGTGACAATACGCGAAACCACCAGCACTGAAGCGGGGTTCTACAAGTCCACGCTGCATTAGGGAGGTGCCAAGTTGTCCTTGGCCCTCAAGTCTTCTGCAGGCTTTCCTCAAAAAGCTCCTCATGAATCCTAAGCCCCCAGTATTTTGTTGAGAAGCCCCAAGGTCGACTGTCAGCAAGCCCCTAAGCCGGCGGAGATCCCCAGAACCCTAGGACCTCAGGGGCTCAGGGGCTTAGGGGCTTAGGGGCTTGAGGAATGAGTCGTGCCGAGCAGCATAACGCTCAGGGAAGCCCGAGGGTAGTCGTCAGTGTAGAAAATCTTCATGTATCCTGTTTTGAAGTACCTTGGTGGGCCGCGTGTTCCTGTTGGGCCCCCTCTTCAATCTCCGTTCAACTCCCGAGCTTTTGGTCAGGAGCAGAAATTCCTGCACAGGGTTCCACAGCTTGCCTGGCATGCGTCTAAAGAACCAAGCCCAGCTGCCTGAATGCGAACATTCCAAACGTCGAAGCCGTGACAGTGAATTTGGTGCAGCAGCTCAGCTGTCCAAAGTATTCCTTGCTGGCCACAAAGTACAAAGGCACTGGGTTTGGTCGCTCGCAATTGGATCCCAAAGCGGAAATCGCGGATCACTTGGGGAAAGTGTGCTAAAACGAGTGCCCTAAGTTTGAGCCCCTTGGCTTCCTGAAGCACCCTCCATTTCCACAGCCACACGCGCGAAGCCCTGTAATTTATAGCACTTGCCGATTATGCCCTCAAACGGGCCAGATATCAACGGGTGACCCCCTAACCCCAAGGGGCTGAGTGCGGTGATGGAAACCTTGCTGCAGTTCCAACCCACATCACTTGCATGTGGTTGCGTCATGCCCAATCGCTGGTGTTTGGCACAGGGCCGTTTTAGTTGCAACTCCCAACGTGCCTAAGCCCGCAGCCAACTAGCCTTGTATAAACGAAATATTTTTCCTGTGAATGAAGCCCAAGCGTACACCTCCTAAAAATCCTTTTGCAGGTAGGACACTTTTACATTTAGCTTACATGTCGTGTCCGGCCGTCCCCGAGTATGCAACGGTCCCGACAGGTGACCGTGCTTGAACCCCCCAAACCCTTCTGTTCGTTATGTCATGGTATATGGGGAGTATTTACTCTTAGGGGGGGGAAGGGGGGGAGAGAAGGGGGGGGGAAGGGGGGGGGGAGGGGAGGGGAAGTGGGGGGAAAAGGGGGGGGGAAGGGGGGAAGGGGGGGGGGAAGGGGGGGGGGGGAAGGGGGGGGAGGGAGGGGGGGGGGGGGGGAAGGGGGGGGGGGGAAGGGGCGGGGGAGGGGGGGGGGGGGGGGGGGGGAAGGGTTCACCCCCGAGCTCTCTCCGATCCCCAGCCTTGCCATCGCGGGCGCCTGTCTTTGCCATGGGGTAGCACTCCTCAAAATACGGGGTTTGGGATTGAAAGGGTTTCCACTCTCGCAATCGCTAGGGTTTAGGGTTTAGGGTTTAGGCGTTCATGGGAACCTCACTCCCAGACACTTCTAGCAGAAACAACAACCCCAAGCCCCTTCTCCTCCTGTGAGAACTGCGCCCCGCAATCTCGGGTCCTGAAGAGATGCCGTCTCTGCCACCTCCGCCCCATCCATGACCTCGTGTCTGCACTCGTGTGCACGCTTTCGACTGATGGGTCTTGCCTGGTGTTGGAGATCCGTGGACTTCGGAGATGCTCTGCTCATGCTGCAACCTTTGGGAGTGGTGACGTTCGATCCTTCTTGGAGTCGCCACTAGAATCACGGCCTCTCTTCTTGACGGATACTGCACAAGCCCCAAGCCCCAAAGCGCTCGCCTTCGCCATGGCAGGTCGGCACAGGTCCAGCCTTCGGCTGACCCAGGCCCCTCACGGCTTTGACGCACAAACAGCTGCCCAGGACACCTATGACTCAGTGGAGCTTGGAGTTGTGAGGGCTTCGGCTTCAGGGCTTCGCCCGGGGGTGGGGGGGTGGGGAGGGAGTTGGGGGATGGAGTGGTGTGGGGTTTTCCGGGGTGAAGGCTTTAAGGGCGCAGGCTCCTCAGCTCATCCCAGAATTGAAGACTATTCACCTGCTCTTGACTGGGCTAACACCGGATGCCTTTTACTTGCAGCGACCTGAAAAGGCCGTATATGGGTGGCTGTGGGCGGCTTTCCCTTGCGCATCTGCAGCAGGAAAAGGAATGCTGCAGCACCAATCTCCTCTTTGAGGAGACCCGCACTAACCGGCTCAATGTACAAAAAGCAATCGCAGCTCTCAGTATGTCTTTTGCGTCGCTTCCTACCTTGGACCCCTTATCCAGAATACTCTGCGAGTGCCTTGCAGACTGTGGCTTGGCTTGCAAGCCTGCTCAGCTACCTCTGGAACGGTGCTCAGCTGCCACACATGCACCAACGCCGGAGACATGCATGACGTTGCTAAGTCGTTAACTGTCAAGAAACAAGCGCCCCAAGTTGCGGCAAGGTGCCCAGCAACTCACCGGCGCAGAACGTATGGCCCGCTGCCCGTGACGAAATCAAGGACAGCGCGCGCGGGCTCACCTGGTCTCTCATCTCAAAGGTCAATTGCCCCACTGGCGAACACCCTGAACTTTAAGACGGTCTCCGAGAACGAGCGGGCGGGCAACCACAGCTTGCAACTCCTGTTCTTGGGTGGAATGAGGTTTCTGCTTGGGGTTGACTCTATGTTTGGCCTCTGCTGAGGCGTCCCCCAAGAAGCATCTTCGGCCGGGCCACGGCCACTGTGCTCCGACAGGATCCTCCCGAAGCAGCGCGCTAGCACCTGCTGAGGCCGGTCATAAAGCACTTTTCTATTTCTGCGATTGCACCTGCCAGTGACTTACTAGTTGCCGCTGCTTGCGTTGGCCTCGGGCGCTCGAGCTGCATTCTTGGCCCTCTCCGCCTCGGGCTCCCAGTGCCTCCGCCGGGTTCAAGGACTGAGGGCGTCAATGGGCTTAGGGTACCAGGGTGCCAGGACGGGTCCACAAGGCTACCCAAAAGTGAACCATCTGGTTTACCATGTGTAGCCACTTCCAGCCAAGATCCACCAAAGAGCCCTCACATCAAAAAGGGGTTCTCAGGTTGCCCCCTTGGATCACAACCCTTGAAGAGAAGAACCATGAGAAGAATGTTACACTGGCCCGCCACGCCCCCTATCCAGCCTCAGCGTCAAGCACTGAATCAGCCAATGGCCCGTAGGGCAGCACCCTCGCGCAGGGGGGGCTGGGTGTTTCAGAGCTGAGGATGCCCTGCGGGCCTGGGCTGCCTGAGGGCTTTGGCGTTCAAGGCATTCCCAGGGCCTTCAAGCCTGTGAGAGAAAGGGGGGTCGCCTCCTGGCACGGGCGTCTCGCCCAGGTCTGCAAGGCCACGGAGGAGGAGGTCGGCCCTGGGCATAACTTCTGGGGAGCCCTCGAGAGGGTTCAAGATTCAGGGAGTGGAGGGATTTAAAATTCTCTCTTTTTTTTCTCTCCCGGGGCCCGAAGCGCTGATTCCCAATCCTGGCGAGGATGGTTGCCAGGGTTCGTTGAGCTCGGCGTGCAGCAGGTTTTTGCGTGGCCAGGACAACCCTTCCGCGCAGGGAAGCCGCGTTTCTTTTCAACACTTCAACATGCTCAAGACAGACAGAGAGGAGAACCCTTGTCAACCAATCTAGGGCGGCCTGTGTCCTTCAGTCAGCGAAACCTTGCTGCATTGCGGCAAAAGCCAACTCATGACGCGAACCTAAAGACACGAGGCGAGATCATCTTTCGATCCTTGTCTGTGCCGGATCATCTGCGCTTGCATCTTTCAAGCACGGGTGCATGCTCTTTTTCAGGCAGCTCTTGTGATACCGCTTGGGGCAGGCTTACAGGGGGCCTTGATTGGAGCTACCCTGAACCAGTCCTGGGTGGTAAGCGGTTGATGCTATACAAGTGTGTACAAGGATTCCTGTCCTTCCTGCATGCAGCCTCTTCAACACCCCCGTGGTGCGCGCACAGTACGCCGTTTTGCTGTTGCTCCCGAAGGCCTGCGGCCTTCGAAGATACCTCTGCTCACGTTGGTTGCCCACCGCCCAATGTTTTTTTCGCAGTGTGGCTCAATACAGTGTCCTTCCCTGACTGTCCCTGGCCACAGTAGCTCCGTAGAGCCCACTCGCAACGCCAGCTACGCAGCTATTTCTGGACAGCATGCTGATAGCCCAGCTCTGGAAGGTCGGCGTGCCCTTGCCACTTTTGGCACAAGCTCTCAGATCGCCAGCAGAATGCTGGAGTCTACCACTAACATCGATTCGACCGCAACCAGTGTAGTCTTTTAAGTGCAGGCACGGCTTGCATCCTCAGGATTCGGTGCCCAGACAGAGAGAGAAAGAGAGAGAGAGAGAGAAAGAGAGAGAGAGAGAGCGAGAGAGAGAGAGAGGAGAGAGAGAGAGAGAGGAGAGAGAGAGAGAGAGAGAGGAGAGAGGGAGGGAGAGGAGAGAGAGAGAGAGAGAGAGAGGCAAGTGCACAAAGGAGAACGACCTCGTCCTGCAAAACTCTCTACCGCGACTTATCAATGCCAGACTCTGGTTCGTTTTCGTCGGCCCGAGCAACGTCACTCCTGAACCCAGAACACCAGAACACCTGGACCTCTCGGAAGAACCTAGTCAGCAGAAGCGGATCCTTTCCCCATAAACCCTCAACCCTTAAAAAGCCCGCACCCATCCCTGCATGCAGCCGGACGTCAAAAAATCAATCACCTCCGCCTGCGAGCGAATGACGGCAGTGCCCTGCAAGCAGAAGGGCAAAAAAAGAGCATTCCTACTACGACCCCTGTTGCTATTCTTATGGCTAGTCGTGTAGTTGTGTCCCCAAACACACCCGTCCGGTGCCACACGGCACTGCATCACGAAAAGGTCCCAACGTTCTCAACTGCCCGAAACTCACACTTCACCTTCCGGCCCCTGCCTCACCCCGATTCGCCAGCCAAAGCCGGAACGAGCTCCTGAGTCGGACTTGGGTACAGCTTTTTGGCCTGTTCCAAACGAACTTGCCTTGGTCCTTTTGTGCCAAGGCTTTCAGTATCAAAGAAACTTACGCGTTTATGTAGTACACAAACTGTGAAAGGCACGAAGAGCATGTCAAGCTCTCCACGAGGAACACGATGACAAGCAACTCCAGCACCAGAGCACGAAGAGACCAGCACGCCCAGCAGGAACCCAGCATGCAACTTCAGGGAGCTTCATGGGGTCACGAAAGAACGGCTTCGACTCCAGGCGCCCTCCGCGTACTTCCTTTGCACGACAAGAAGTTGGCTTTCGAGCCACTGAACCTCCGGAAGTCCTCTTCGCACTAGTTGATGCCGACTTTCGAGCCCACCAGACCTTCGGACGTCTTCCAACAACAGCAAAAGCGACGACAGTTTAACCCCGACGTCCAAAAGCGACGACAGATGCGAGGATGGCAACGTCGATGCGCCACCACCACCGCCACCACCACCGGCGGCGTCGGCGGCGCCGGCGGCGGCGCCGCCGACGACGACTCCCAGCTCTTGTTCGTTTGTTCTTACAACTTGCTCGACTGCAAAAGAGTAAGTGCCCGAGCATTCCTGGCCGTAAGAGGCACAAGCCCACGAGGACAAGGCACAGCAAGGCACAGCAAGGCACAGCAAGGCACAGCCCAACCCCCACCAAGGACCGGAGAAAAAGGAAAACCGAGACAATGCCCCGATAAAGGAACCCTCAACTCCCCGCAGGGTTGCGGCCCTGGCTCGCTTGGGCGGCTTGGAAGGAGTTGCGGGGCACGTTCCAGGCGACGCCCACGCGTGACCGCGCCTGAGCGATGTCCAGACGGTTGTTCGGGTGATTTGGGTTTTTTTCGTCCTCGGGTTGCTTTTTACAGTTTAGTTCGGGTTTAGGGTTCCGGTTGCCTAAGAAAACTATAACCTTTGTGTGATTGTACAGGGGTTGTACTTACTCGAAGACTAGGTCTCAGTGGCTTCTGGGGGAGCGCCTACACCACATTCAACCCCGCAGACCTTTCTGAAGCCCAGAACGAACTGCTGCTGGGCTTCCGTCCGCTCTTCGAAGCTTTTCAGCGCACCGGCTCGGTCCTCAGAGGTCTGCCGGTCTCCTACCCGAACTCCATCCGGTTTCTCCTAGATGAACACAAATCGAAACTCCTGGATCCCACTTCGTACATCGGACCCCTGGCGCCTTTCCCCTTAAGGCCACAAGGCCCTGGGGATGGGTTCCGGCATCGCAACAGCCTTCTAGTCCAGCCTCTGGTGGCATGAGGGACCCGCACCTAAAGCCTGCCACCTGCAGGCTGGGATCCCATGCACCAGCAGCCAGGCGGCCTCCACCAAGGGTTGCCCTCTCTCACTCCCGAATTCCAGGACCCTAACCCTAACCCAACGCAAACCCTTTTGCTCTCGTTGCGAGCAGGGCTTGAGTTGTAGGTCGGGGCAGCCGAGGTTTTGCGGCCGAATTGGGGGCAACAAAAAGAGTGCGGAGTAGCCACTGCCGTGTTGGCTTAGACCCTAAACCGAGACGCCTAGCCCCCCAAGCTCTGCACCCTCTTGGCCGCGCCTGCCATGTCCACCACATTTCGTGACTCTGTCGGAGCGGGCAACCGACGCCCGGTGCCTCCATACTCCTGGCACGGGCCAAGGTTTGGGATGGTGGGTTTTGGGTTCAAAGTGTACTTGGCTATGGCTACTGTTCTCCTACTGATCTCCCTACTTACAAATAGAGGGAAAGTGGGTTTAGCCGGAAGCCGGAAGCAAAGCCGAGTCATCTCGGTCCCAACCCCGAACCCTTTTTGCATCCGGACTGCGGAACCCTAAACCCCACACTGGGAAGTTCTCTACACGAGGGTCCCTTTTTGGGTCCAGCAGATCAGGGTTTGCCATACTGCGAGTATATGTAGGACCCCAAAAAGGGACCCTCATTTGGCTAACTACCCCACATGCCTTTTGCCACAGAGGGGTTGGGCCCTGAGGGCCTCCGGGACCAGCTCAGAGGACCCCACGAGGCGGCGCATGGTCTCTGGCACCTGATCTCCAGCCACGCTTCTGCAAGCTTTTGGGTTTCTGCAAGCTTGGGGTTTTTGCGGGGCAAGTGGGGGGGGATTCAACTCTGAGAAATTGCCAGCATCATGTTTTGCACTGTGCGAACGCAGCATCCCCAAAGACGCTTAGCGAGGTTGTAGGCGGGCCTTAAGCCCGGCAGCTAAACTTGTAGCTGCAGCACTGGGTGCACCAAGAAACGACTAGACCTCGTGCCATACCACCAAGCAGATACAGATCCGGAACATGATTGATTGCTTTGATCCGTGACACTTGCAGCACTTTAATCAAAGCGTTCAACTTGCAGACTGGGCAGCGTCAACAGCTGGTACAGAATGGTCACCCACTTCAAGATGCATGTCTTCTTTCAAGGGCTTTTTTTGGACCATGCTGACCTTGAAGGCCCGAAGGGCCTTACCAGGAAGCGTGGCGGCAAGCTGGGAGCCCCGGGCTGCTAGGTTCACGTCACATGCTACGACCTTGAGAAACCCCTCGGGTCTAGGTGAGCTCCTGCCTCTGCCGGTCCCACCATATGCACCTGTCCAGTGGCACCCACCATGCCAAACACTAAGCCCTGATCTGCGAATGTGCAGGTTATCGGCGGGAGTAACCCATGACCCAGTTCAGGTGGCCACCTGCCTCGTCATTTAACTGGCGTCCTTGAACCCTGGCACTGGTAAAAACGCTTTACACACCTTTACACAGCTCTTTAGGACTTCAGCTCTGGGGTACAACCGAAAAAACGCGGCGCCATCATGCAGCCCACTGCCCCATGCTGCGAATGGAACGATCACGTGTTCATTCCTACTAGAGAGTGTTTCTGGATTTGATTCTGTCTATTGTTACTTATTACTGTTTAGAACTGCAAACGGAAGACAAAGGCCAAACCAAGCACAGTAAACGCCACGGGTTCTTATTGAGCTGATGTGATTCTTTGCAGCGTCGCAGCAAGAAAAGAACACACCAGTTCCGCGCAACATCCACCTCCTTAAATTTACCAGACAGGCCCTACCCTTGCAGGTTCGCGTGTAGATGCAACTGCTGCTACATAAGCAGGGCAACTAGAGGCCAAACAGGCTGCAACTGGAACAACAGGCTTCCGTCCATCCGCCCCCGGAAGTGTCACTAAACTCATTATAAACCCTTCCATCCCTTTTTGACCCCGAAGCCCGCTCTTGCAGACCTTGTGCCGCGTGCGCGGGTGGACCATTGGGCTGACCAGCGACCAGAGGCTGCGAACCACCATGTTCGCGCCTGGAGGCGAAGGTCGCGAGTCGGTTCAGCAGTTTTTAGGAGCTTTTTTTGCCTCCTGCACAACTGGGGCGAATCCACATAGCTGACATAGCTTTTTTTGTGGGGTTTAGGGCTGTTTTCTTGGGCCTCCCAGGGTTGAGCCCCGAAGCCGCGCCTAAGACGAACATCTCGGCCACGCGATCCGGGTAGTTGGCGTTGCTTTCTGAAATCATGACCTGGCAAGAAAATGCCAGAAGAACGGACACATTCGACGCGACCGACAAGCGGCTAGCCTGAGCTTTCGGTCCTCGTGACAGCAACAAAACGTACCCGGCATTTTTGCCACCCGCCCAGTTTAGGATGCAGTGTTTGGGGATGTACTAGGACGTTCGGTTTCAGGCTTCATCGCTCACACTCGGACAGTTTGGGGGGGGGGGGGGGGTCTCGCTTTTTTGGTTAGTTCACCAGGAATCGGCACCCTGAGCACCTTCACCGCTGCCATGGAGAAGTTGCTCCGGGTGGCACCTGCCACGTCGATAACGAGCACCTCAGATGCCAGACACCGAAGGTCACATTTATTCTGCACACCTCTGTGCATCTGAAATCATTTCCAATCCTTAACAAAGTAGAAGGAAGCTTGACCAATGCTGCCCAACATGCGTACTGCTCCAGTGGGTTCCTCGGCACCGGGCATGTCGGCGCATCGGGGCGTGGGGTGCTTCGGATTTCAACCACGAGCCGCTGCAAGCAGTCACCCGGGGTGCTATAAAGGCCTACACCAGCCTCCACCTGACACCTGGACCTGGCGCCTGACGCACGTCGCACAACACACAACACACAACACACAACACACAACACCCAACACACAACACACAACACACAACACACAACACACAACACACAACACACAACACACAACACACAACACACAACACACACCACACACCACACAGCACACAGCACACAGCACACAGCACACAGCACACACCACACAACACACAGCACACAGCACACAGCACACAGCACACACACACACACACACAATATGTATGTATGTATATATATATATATATCAAATATACAAACACAAACAAATCTCACAAGTTAAAAAAAGAGTCCTGGACCGTAGCATGCATGCGTGTCTGAACCCTGGACCAGAGGACCAGTAGCCCCCACCCCTAGGAGAAAAAGAACCCGGGAATCAGAATCCCGCCGCATCTATGACAAGGCCTCGGACCCGCAAACCTAAAGCGCTGGCCAGACTGAGGCCAGATGCAGCTCGGACATCTGCGTCGAGCGCTTCTGCAGGAGGTGCATGATGACCTCATCTCTTTTTTCTCGCGGGCGTGAACTCGCATGAGAGGCATGCCCCCCGCCCCCCCTGTATTAAAAACAAACGTTGTGTGAGGGTGGGGACCTGCGCCTTCAAGGTGGCTGTGGCTGCTGTGGGAAGGCTGTGCTTCAACCTCTTAGACTGCCGAAAGCAACTTTTGCCACACAACTCAATGGCGAAAATCCTGCTGAAACGTGCAAATCCACTCAAGCCCCAAAACCCTCCGTAAACCTCCAAAAGCCCTGAACCCAACCAGAAATCACCCACAGCCCTCCAAAACTGCCCAGCTGCTGCGTCGGCGAGTCCCCGGTACAGGGTCCGAAAGGCCTCGGCCTGAGATCTCGGCATGGTGCTTTTCGGGTTTCTTGCTGCATCTGTCACATAACCTTCAAGAATGTTCCAAAGGTTTCCCTGCATGGAGTCATGTAGGGTCTCAGAACTCAGCCAGAGCTTCCTAAGCCCTGCTTGTGGCCAGCCCCGTGGGGGCCCTTTTACGACTCCAGCAAGCCGCAGAAGAACTGAGAGGTGGGTCTGAAGCTCATTCTAACTGACGCATGCGAGGCTTCTCTCCATGTCTTGGCCGAAGGGAAAGGCGAACACTACTGAATCAAAGTACTTCCCTTTTTTGTTGCAACAAGGCTTCTTGCGAATATTGCCGGGCAAAGTACTTCCTGGAACTTTTGGCTGGCAGAAGCCGTCACATTGCAAATGGCGCAGGCAGCACAAACTTCGAGTCTCCAGGCGATTTCGAACCACATGTTTTCTCGCGGGCCGCAACTTATTTCGAAGCCTGTGCCCTGAAAGTAGGATGGGCGTATTAAGGGAGTTAAGGCTCAGGGGCGTGTTGAAGCTTCAAGGGCTTCGGGTTTTAAAGCCTCGGGCCGGGGAGAACCTGTGGCTCCCACGCCTGGCTGCTCTTTAAGCAGCAAAATACAGCAGGCCGGCGCTAAGCTGCGCAGGCCTTGGGGGCCTCTACGGAAGCCCTTGTGGGATGTCACCCTCAAGGCCCCAGGATCTCCCTGGGCCCTCAGAGTCAAGAAGCGGGTACCGCATGAGGGTGTCATGCTGCACACTGTACACTCCAGCGAAGGAGGGTAGAGAGGCACCGGGACTGCGGGTTCAGGGTCTATGCCCATAGGTCTGAAATTGTATGTATCGCTCGCACACCTTTACATACATATATATATATATATGTGTGTGTGTGTGTGTGCACATATGTCTACACCTATTTGAAAGGGCATGCATGCATGCATGTGCGCACAGCACAAAGGGCAAATGCACCAAACTCCCGAATCAAGACATAAGACGGCCACGTACGAAAACATTGTCCGTTTGTGCGATGAGCAAACTCCCCAGAACGGGTTAAAGTGGAGCCCACTTACACAAGTACCATACCTGGGCCAGCACACACGGATCCCCCCAAACCAGCGCCTTGGACCTATCCAACCCGGGAAGTTGCGAGGCAGAACGACCAGAAAATGCCAGTCGCAGCATCTAGACCAACCGCTCCTCGAGTCTTCATGGTCAGGATTGTGAAGGTTCAGAGTTTGACTAGAAGCTTCCTCCAACAACTTCATGTTCCATGCTCTCAGTGTACACATCTGCTTGACCTTAGAACCTTAGAGTTCATTGTATTCATCTCCTCCTCAGAATCTGCACGGGCTTTTCAGCTCGGCAGCACGGCAAAGGCTGCGTCCCTCTCTGCGTGAAGGGGCCCTGACTGTGGCCATCTCCACACAGAGAAGGGCATGCCGAGCGGTGCTGAACACGGCCCGGCCCTCCGGCGACAGCGAGCTACAGAGGCATTGCTTCGTGGTCCTCGGCCTTGAGAGTAATAAGGCTTCAAGAGCCCCCGCCGATTGCTCTAAGAACTCCTAGCCAGGACTCCAGGGTCTCAATCATGGGATCTGGGGTTTGGTGTTAGCCGGGGGCTGCGGTTGTTGCTTAGATCAAGCACCTTTGTCAGCACTGCTACTTCGCCCTACAAGCCCCATGTAAGATCTCCTGGTTCAGAGTTTGAGGGATTGGGCCGTAAACGTTTTTGAATGGATCTCATTAGAGCAGCTCGCAGTACACGCCGGAAGCCTTCCTGCTGTACAACATACCTGGGCCGCCATTGCACTTGAATTCCCCATTGGGCGGGGAGAGCAAACCTCCGTGCTTCACAGAAGAGCCGACTCCCCGCTAAAATCTGTCAGGTCTGACACAGTGTCTGACAACGTGTCTGACAAAAAACCCAGCGACTCTGGAGGACCTCCTTGGAATATCTTAGGATGTTTTTGAGGCATATGCGAGAATCCGGACGTTTCAGAAAGGGGCCCTCCCGTTCATCGGCTTTCCTTGCCACCCATGCCAGCTGAGAACATGGCTCCCCCAAATTGACCCCGCACTCTGCTTATCGACGGTCTTGGGCAATGTTTCTTGCCGCAACTGTTACATGGAGCAGCCATCTGCATCAGCTACGGAGGGCAGGGTTTGGGCAAGGACTCCACTCCAGCAACTTTCGCCGGACCGGATCGGCAAGCCTCAGGCAGGCAATCGACGCAGGACACACGGGCTCGGGAATGATACGCCTGCAGCCCTGCACAAGACACCCACGTACGGTTTGCGGGTTGCAAGGTGGGGCCTGGCCTGAAGGGAGCACCCCCTCCGTATTCGGGGAACAAAAACTGCAGTCGGGTAATGGTTTCTGGCTAAGCTCCAAGACCTCACACACTGAAACAACTGTCGAAGCTAAAGCCGAGCACACGAAGCCCCTGCCCGAAACCTCTTGGAAGCCTAAACCCTAAACCCCTAAACCCTACACCCTACACCCTACACCCTAACCCCCCCTGAAGCCTCCACGGCCACTGTGTTGGGGAGGAGTCGACGCAGGGCCACCCAGCTGAGGAACGCAAGGACGGCGTGGTTCAGCTGCTCCTGGACAGGGTGGTGGCTTTAAACAGGGGTTCAGGGCTGCGGATGCAGGCGTGGTGGGGTTGGATACCATGGATTCGAGGTTGAGGCTTTCAGGGCTGTGAGATCTTACGTACAGCAAAGTACAAAAAACAGAGGGGCCTTCAAGGTTGCGTAAGTTGGAGGTTAGGGACAGGGATTTCGGTTTCCTGCTGGCTTCAGCAAGGATATCACCAACGCCACCAAGCCTGAACGAGAGACGGAGAGAGATGGAAACGGGCAGACAGAAACGAGCCCAACCCTCAGCTCACATATCCATTCTCCCACCCGTAGACCACCAACCATGAACTCAAGTCCTATGATCCCAGCTTCTTAGGGGTTCCCGGATTGTTTCTGCACAAGCCTGAGCTGTAAACCCTCCCGACCCATGCTTTCTCTCGGCCCCGACCTAGCTGAGATAAAAGCAAGACAGGGCCCTTAATCCACCGCCTCAGCAGGAAGGAACCCCAAAGTCCCGGACCCACAACCTCAACCTCAAGAACGACCTTCCGAAACACCTTGCAAGGCCCACCCCCACTCCTGAAACCCTGAGCCTTACATGGCCCCTAAGCCTCACGTCTCCCACCTGGCTGCCCGACCACATCGCCGACACCAGCAGGAACAACACGGTCCTGGGACTTTGGGTGTGAAACCGTTTCGGGTCCAGGCCTTGGGGCTGGGCTACCCTAAACCCTAAACCCTAAACCCTAAACCCCAAACCCGAAACCCTAAACCAGCACGAAGTGCAGCTCAAAAGCAGGGCCATCAGCACGCGAAGGATCGTCATCCAGGATGCTGAGGACTTCGCGCCTTCAAGTTGAGGGCTTCGGGCGACAATGCATATGTATATATATATATATATATGTATGTATGTATGTATGTATGTATGTATGTGTGTTACATATACATGTATATATATATATATACATATACACAGAAAACCTTTATATGATATATATATATATACATAGAAAAAAAAACGCATATCGGTCGACCCGGCAGGTTCTTTGCCCGAGCGAGCCTAACCGCCCTACTTTTGAACCTGGGATGTTTCTCAAGCACGTTGGACAAGCACATGAACCACAGCAAGGACAAGCTTTGGGTGGGGCCGTTTCTTGGAACTCTTGCGGCCCCAAAGAACCCCCCCCCCCCCCCCCCCAAATGTAAAAAACAAAAAAAGAAGGAGACCGACAAGTGGACCCAATGACCATGCTCAGGGTCATCTCAAGGCCCCTGAAGACCTTCTACAAATTCCTAGGGCCTTCTAAAGGCCCCCTGAAGAAACCATCGACCGACCCACAAATACCCTTCCAAGACCCTCCAAGACTTTTCATGAGACCTTGTAAGGACCCCCAAACGCCTTCTAAAGTACATCCCGCAATGTCTTGTCGCGTCTTGTCATGTCACGAAAATCTTCTGGTCAGTGTTAAGGTGAACCTGGTCACTGTAGAACAGGCCCCTGTCCCTGTTCGGGGCTGGGACCCAGGGTCCTAAGTCCCTGGACCCTATCCCTAGACTTGTCACTTCCCAAAACCCAACAAAAAGATCAACAGCTCCACAGCCTTGGTCCAGGTCCACGCCCGCAGTCGTCCGCTTTCTCCCACGATGGTGGCCCGCAGCCGCAGCTGCAGCGAGGGCAAAGGCATCGGCGGTTCTCACCTCACAGGGTAGAACCCATGACCTTGGGATGTTCCCCCCCAAACACTAACCTTAATGGGGATTCAAGTACCCCGATGATAATCCCCATTCGGGGCTGTTAGTATAAGGGGGGGCATCCCAACCTGTGACCTGCAATACAACCTTCTTGCACTTTCAAGCGAGGGGCCGAATCAGGGGGGCCGTTCTTTTGTTCGACTCCAAGCTCCGAACGTGCTTTAAACTCTTCACTGGAGAGCGTTCATGATTCCATGGAGCAGCAAGGGGACCCCTTCTTCGTCTGAGCAAGGGAACCTTACATCCCTAAACCCACAGAGGTCGCGGCAAGGAGCCCCAGCGAGGGTGGGGATACACGAGTCAGGATGAACACTACTTCCAGCACCAACACGTGCGCTTGGATGCAACACACGAACGCCTCGCCAGCAGGGTTAGGACTTCCCACCAAATTCAAACGGAGCTCTGTTTAGGATATCGGGCTTCGCGGTAAGGCCCCTTCTCCCAGCACCCGCTTGCTGCCTGTCACCGTTTACGACTGAAAATGTATTCTTGTGGTTCTTGTGGCGTATGTGGTTTTTAAGATGACTGTAATGTGTTTAGCTATCCACTCTACGAGATATGTGGAAGCCCCCTTTGCAGCAGACGGCTATCCAGTGTCCAAGCTGCGCTGGAGCCGCCAGGGACTCTGGTTGGGTTGAGATGTTTCACCTCGTGCGAAGCGGGTCTAGGGACGTGCTCCTCGTGAATGAGGAGCCCTCAAAACCGTCAACCCTGCATGAACCTTCCACCCCTTAAAGCCCTACCAGTATATACGACCAGAAAGAACCTGAAGCTTAAGGTTTTGCAGGAAAGGACCACGCAAACGAGAGGCCTGCGTTGCTTCGACGTGGGCCTTTTGGTCCCAGGCCCCGCGAAAGAGAGCCAAACTCTTGGGCTTCGGGGCTTGGATTCTGAAAATTCCTTGGCATCAGGTTCTGGGGTGGGACTGGTCACGCCAAAGAGCAGGAACCGGACGCGTCCCGCTCCGAGTATCGCTCAGGTCCGGCGAGTGCTCGGGAACGGTCAGCTGTCCTGTCAGCAGAGCGCTGGGATTGGGCGTGAAATCATAACCGTCCGAACCCCGAACCCTAAAACTTATAAAGCCCGAAGCCTTTCGTGACACAACCAGTCTACCTGATGCCACCGAGGATTTGGGTCTTCACTGCCGAGGATGCAGGTGCTTTCGCGGCTTGTTCGGGAGGCGCATCCTTTGTGCCCCTTCATGCTTGTGAGTTGCAAAGCTCACGGCTGAATGGGATGAGCGACAGGCTTAGGATTAACGGCACAGAAGACTCAGAAGACACCGCGAGAACTCAGAACTCTAGGAAACGTCTATCGACCCTGCTTCTCTCTCTCTCTCTCTCTCTCTCTCTGCGGGGAGCGCAGAGCCCCAAACCGAAGATATCTTCGGAAACTGAAGGCTAACCTGCGGGACTCGATTGGGACTGATCTGGGCGCGCATTTTTACGTGTATAATAAGTTTATATGTAGGCAGGTCCGTTTTCATTTGATTGCCCCGAAACCCAAGAGAAGCTTGGAAGCCCTGGACCGGTCTCTCGCCTGGAAGATGCATCGCAAGGGCAGGGTCCACCACTACGGTCGCACGGTTTTCTACGGATGCTTGGCTTAAACGGTCGTTCGAGCCAACTGCGGTGAGTTCAGAGGGCTACTCCTGAAATCCCCTCTGCTCCCAGCAACCTGATGAATCCCTTCCCTACTACAAAAACACCCCACCAAAGAGGGACCGGATAAGGGGTATACAAACCAAAAAGTACATATGGGGGCTATATTGAAGCATCTTCATAGTTGGAGTTTCGGGTTCGGGAGTAAGGGCGGACACCTGAGCTTGGTACCCCCCAACCCACTGAACACCCTAGGCCCTCCCTCGTGCAGACCAAGGTGCACATGTGTCTGGCGGGATGTATCGAGCACGGGCCTGGAGAGCGCCCAGAACTTAGCACCATCTAAAAACGATGCAGCAGGAACAGCTACTTGGCTCCATCAAGACGTAACGCACTCCAAGCCATCTGATTTTCGTCACTTCTTCGGCCTTTTTTGGGCGTGATATGGCGTGATTTTAGCAGCACCTTTACAAGTCGGCACGCAGACCTAGGGCCCGCAGATGGTTTGGGGCACCAGCTCTATCCCTAAAGCCAACACTCTCCCTGTCTTCCTGTCTTTAAGTGAGGGCAACACACAATCACCATCTTTGCGTCTGATGAAAAAGAACTTCCCACACCCCTTGCGAAGGCTCGGCGCCTTCGCCCAGCCTCTATTCTTGAGTGAGGTGGAGCACAACTGCACAACCGTCCCTTCAAGAAGCCCTGGGCCGCGGACCAGGAACACTGGACGCCCCATCACGTCCTGCAGGGCAAGTGGTAGCCTAAAGCACACGTCGTTCTTCGGGCTGCGGGTCGGGGCTTAAGGTTTGTGACAGTTTGTAGTGGCCTTCAGACTGTCCGTGTTCAGACCGCCTGAGCGAAACCTGCATGCTCCGACAACCCTCACGGGGCTTCCGTATTGCTGTTTGAGCTCCAGGAACGCTGCAGGATGTTGGGACCCAGAAAGCTCCGAGGCTTCTGCATGCCGACACACGCAAGCTTCAGCGCTGTGTCCGGCTGCATGCCCTCTGCAACCAAGCCTCTCTTATGACTCTGCCCCCCTCCACATGTTCTTTTTTTTTTGGGGGGGGGGGGTACATTACTTGTCTCAGGTGGTTTCGGCTTTTACTCTTTTCGGCACATGACGCCTGAGACAAGGCACCAAACTGGAGCCGCAGAACGCCTAGAAGACGTCCGCCAACCCGAGTCACTGCCTGGCCTCGAATGGCGCAATGGCGAAGCCTAGGCTGAGCCAAGATAGGTCCGGCGGCACACCTGCACGTGGGCAGTTTGCTTGTATAGTGCACAAGTCGAAAAGCGAACACACAACCTTTTCAATCCGAGTACAACCTGGATCGCCCTCAAAAGGTGCCTCCACAAAGTTGCTGACGCAAGGAGACGTAGTTCCGAACGACCCTCACGCGCAAGGTGTGGCTGCGTCATGAGGCTGAGTCTGCGTCTCTTGTCTAAGCACACAGATGCGGCATTACTGATATACTTGCGTGTCACCTCCTGGAGCCCTCACCTCGCCCTCCCGACAGCCTGGCTGGGTGAGACTTCTGTGGTACACATCTAAACCGCATTGACGGCTGAGATGGAGCAACTGTACACACGGCACCGAGATTGCTTAGGAACCACGAGGCTTGGGCCTTCGCAGCTGCTTGTGGCAGCCGCTGAGCACCCAAATCCATGCCAGAACTCCAAGCATCAAGACGATTCTAGCAAGCAGCGCTCGACCGAGCAAAACCGACACTGAGGGTCGCGGACGGAAGACGCAGCAGGGCCCGTCAACCGCCCCCCCCCACTACGCCGGGTCCTCCCGAGCGCAGCTCCGTGCTTCCAGGAAGGCGCGGAAATCCTTTGCCTCCAGCATCGCCACTTCCAAAGCGCACAGTCATGGACAGACATTTACACAGGGTCGTGGGCCCGTGTCGTACTGTACGAGCGGGCGTCCACATCTACCCAGTACACCCCCAGTAGACCGGGTCTCCCCCAGCGCAGCTCCATGCTGCTTCCAAGCATCATGTCTCCGCAGCTTCAGCGCGGCGATACTTGCTACTGCGTAGTCAAACTAGTTTCTGCAAGCACGCCCGACATCTGCGGCTCCTGTCACTCCAAAACTCCTGCACACGTTTTGGGTGAAGCTTGGGGACCCCAAAAGCAAATCTGGTTTCCCGCGTGGCTTCGGAAGCTTCAGGCTCAGGATGTGCAGATACACAGTGTAGGATTTTGGGAGAGCCGTTGTGTTGCAGAAGGCCTCTGCCATCTAGTACGATGCTGCCGTGGAAGCCTTCTCTGAGGCCCCTCGTCCTCGTCCTATCTCGGACGGAAGTCAAAAGACTCGATCAGCCTCAAAATCTGGAGAACCATGAATACACCTACTTTCGGAGTAAGTTTTGGGCTTGGGGATTTCGACTCTCAGGCGTTTAGGCTAGGAGGCCCCCCCCAAGACTTCAGTCAAACGGCTCCGTACACTTGCCGAGGTCGAAGTCTGCAGCGATCAGGTGCCGTGCCATGAGCACCTCTGCCAAGGCGCGTCGATTTCGTTTGGGCAGGATTTGGGGGACACACAAGCTACTAGCTTAGGAAACCGAAAACCTTGTTTTGAACCCGAAACCCGAAACCCGAAACCTGTATCCAGACTGGGGCATTTTGCTCAAGGCACGTCGTCCAGCGGCTCAAAGATTCGGCCATCCTCTGCCGTCTCAGCCTGCGCTATCCACTCTTCTGGGTACTTGGAGGTTCATGGTACTTATTAACCAATTTATAACTATACTTATAACCCACAGATATACTTGGGTAGTAAGTACCATGAACCTCCGCCAAGACTAAAGAGATGTCCCTGGCGTTCTTCAAGCCCCGTCACATTTCCCAGTAGCTCTTGCAAAATACCCTGTGCGCCTCGCCCACATCCCACTAGTGTTTGGAGCAAGGAAGGCCTCGAGATCCTTGCAGGCGGTGCGCATGTGCCTGCACTGTCGAAGGCTTATCTATCGTCTTCAGTTTGATGGTCTATGGATTGTGGGGGTTGAGGGCCAATCCCTTGACCCGGTGCCAAACTAGAGCTTGATCTAGCTAGTCTGTCTTGAGCTTCTGCGGATCGTCGTTCAGGTATTGCTCACGGCCATTTGCTGCCGTGTCTTTACGTAATCTAGGCCTGCCTCAAGCGACACCTGAAACTCCAAATCCCTAAACCCTCCAAGGTCTGGTTGTATGCCACCAGGCTAAGGGGGCACCGCCTACGTTGGGACGGGGGGAGGGCCTATGTAGAGTTTTCATGCTCATGACTAACCATAAAGCTAGAGTATTCGGTAGAAGAACTTCCGTGTGTGTGTGTGTGTATTTGTGTTTATCTATGTACTTGCTGAAAGAAAGCACACGAAACAAAAACATATACACATACAGACATGTATATAGAACACCATGATGATGTTAGAAATGGCACACATAACTCTCCGAAGGCTGGGTCCTGGCGTCTTCCAGGGGTCCTGGAAATTGTGTTGTGTTTTTGGTTGTTTTTGGTACTGTTTGTTAGGTTTGTTTGTACTCCCTTTTTGGTTCTTCAAGAGTCCATGAGAACCATTTGCTCGGCGTTCATGCCTTTGGTGGTGGCGTTTTTGCTTCTGGCGTTTGTTTTCGAGAGCGCTGTGCTGTTTTGCATCCTTACAGTATGCTGATACTGGTAGGGGAGGCCCCGAATGCTTAGAAGTCATAGTCGGACCCTGAACCAAGAAGCAGAAACACTGCGGCATTGTGATCCATCAAGGCGGGGTGGGGAGTGGGGAGGTGGTACCCAATTTCTATCGTTTTGCCAGGCCTGGCCTCAGCGAGTCGGCTACATTCCGTGAAGGGACGAAGCTGCTGGGGCGGGATTTTCCTGGACGTCGGCTCTTTGTCTCTGGGTTTGGACTTCTAGGATTTAGCGGTTCAGGGGTTTAGGGTGAGGATAAACACGACCTAAGGCTGGGCTACGCCTATAAGCCCTGAATCCTAGGTTTCGATCCTTTTTGGAACCCACACAGAGGCCGAGGTCTGCACCTGCCCTCTCATTGTGATCCCTTTTCCCTCCACCATGAAGCCCGGGCGGCCGTCGCCCAACGGCGGCTTTGAGTGATCCACGGCGTAGATCCGGATGACCTCGCGCTCGAACCTCGGGCGGAAGTTTGGGAATCTTGGGAATTTCGGTCAGGTTTTGGGCGCTTTGGGGCTCTGGACGTCTTCCTTTTGTTCAAAAAGGCACCTGCTTTCCAAAACCCTCTTTTCGCCCACAAATACCCGGATAAACCCCTGCACACCCCAAGAAGCACGCTTTATAGACTCCAAGCTCCTCTTAAGCCCAGCCCGGCATACGTGGGTTCTGAGAGGGTTCTGAGAGGCCCAGGGCTGCCAACGACTTGAGATACACTGGGTTTCGGCATGCCAGGAAGGGAGGGCTTGGGATGTTCCCCCTTAAACTAACAGTCCTGAAATAGAGATTTAGTAGGGGGTACTGTCATCCTTTTTGTAGAAGAAGGGGGAACATCCCAATCTAGGGCCTAGGTCAGGCATGGTAATTACAGAACGAAAGGCAACAAAAAAAACATCTTCTTTTTGAATTCGAATGTTTCCGTGCCACTTCGCCCTCGCCCTCCGCCCAGCTCTCTTGGTTGCCGCCCTCTTCTCTCCTCTCGTAGCTGCCTCGCCATATCCTCACCCTCGAAGCAGAGACGGGGCATTGAGGAGCCTCCCAGGAGGGGTACAGTAAGCTTTCTGGGGCGCTGTGGGTCCTATTGTGCAGAACGCTCAAAGCCCTTACTTGACTTCATCTCTGCTCTACCCGCTCTACCCACTCTCGCCCGTCCCAACAAGCCCACAACAACTTCGGCCTCATCCGGGAAACCTGTCCCAGGCCCGAAAACCCCTGAACCCTCAGGGTGCAGGCAAATACATACCCGGCCACAAAGTTTCATCCCAGTGGGCAGCTGCGTAGGCTGGCGCCGCGGCTTCACCTTCACGAAAGGCTTCACGAAAGGCTTCGCGAAAGGCTTCGCGAAGCCCTGGTCATAAACGCCCTGAACCCGGAACTCAAGCCTAAACCCCATCAGGTGCTGAGCGAACCTAGTGCATGGCCCTTCTTGAAGATCCCGGTTTGAAAGGCTTTGGCTTAAGATGTTCGCTGCGCCAGCCCCCCCGCCCTAACAACGTCAAAAAGCCAGAAGCCCCAAGAACCCTAAGCGCAAGAACAGAACCCTTGCATGCTGGCATGCGTAACCTCTGAAACCTTTTTGAACAACTCACAGCCTAAACCCAAACACAAACCCAACAAACCCCACAAAAGTGGGTGAGATCGAATTAAGGCTTTTGGACTTCGAGGCTTGGGGCTTTCAGGTCACGACACCACGCACGCTCGCACAGGTTTAAGGTGTCAGGGGTAGGGCTTTGCGGTGCGAGCATGGGATGGTGCAGGTGCCACTTATCTCTCCAGCTTGGTGCTTTCGCAAGGGTTGCCAACTTGCTGGTTGTTCGTGGGGAACCCTAAACCCTGAAGCCTCGGGGTTGAGGTCTGAGGGAAACAACGGTTCCTTACAAAGAATTGAGGGTTTAAGGCTGTGTCTCCCCCCAAAGGCAAACCCTCTCACCCACCCCTCCACACACACACACACACACACACTCAGCGCACCCGACAGCCTTGGGCTTGACCTGCCGTGGCCTGGCAGGGGGATTTCTGCTGTAAGTGTTTGTTGCCACCAAGCATGCTTGGCTTTCGGGACTAGGGACTTTGGGCTTTTGAGTTCTTTGCAAGGGCAATTGGGTCTGGGTGACGATGGTAGAGAAGCCCTTATGACCAGGCCTGGCTATTACATATGCCTAGATATATGCATATATATATATATATATACATATATATATATATATATATATACATATATACATATATATATATACATATATACACATATATATATATATATAGACATATATAGAAATATATACATATATAGAAAAAGCATATATCTATTGATTTATATTTATTGACATGTACACACACACATGTGTATATATATATACATATATAAAGACTGAAAAGGGAAAGGAGAGCGTTGTGGCTCTCAGCCTTCGGGAAAATGGAGCCAGCTTCTGCTGGCTCCACTCTCACGGGGCCCATCGTCTCCTAGAGCTGCTGATTCTGTACCCACTTCTTCTCAGGCCAGCTTGAGGGCAGGAATAACACACAAGCTCACCACGGAAATTCAGGTCTCATGGTAGGGCCTTCTACGCACAGCCAGGGCCACCGCCAGCAGCCCCAAGGCCAGCACGACCACATGGCGCCCCTCGCCTTGCATCAAGAGGAAACTCCTCGCCCCTGTTGTCCCTCTCTTTGCCGCTGTGGGGTCTCGGGCCTCTAGAGGGCGTATAGAGGATTGGTGGTTTCGATGTGTTCTGGGTCCCAGGCTGGGGGATTTGGAGACGGTTAGAGGTCACTTAGAGCAGCGTGGTCTGGGGTGGCTGCCTCTTGCGGTTGGCGGAGGACTGGGGCTTCTGGGTGGTGAACTTACGGCATGTGAATAACTGGGCCTTTCTGGGGCTTGGGCTTGCTTGAACTTGGGCAAGGTTCCACATGTAAATGGCACAACGGCTTTTGAGGTCTTTTTGGGGCCTGCCTGTGCCCACGTCTTCGGCGGTGCTGACAAGGAAGCATGTCAGCCTCAGCCGCAAGTGCATCTGGAGGTTCCCCTCAAGCCCTGAACTCAGGGCCCGAAAGGATCCTGATAGGATCCTGTTCCCGGGGTTGCACAAGATGCAGATTTGGGACGCAGAAATTTTGAGGTTCTGAGGCTTCGGGGGGTTGGTGTCGGGGCCTGTGTTTTGGGTTCAGGGCGTAGACTTGGACAAAAACTCTTCGGAAACTCTTCCCAAAACTGCACGGAACATCTCTAATGACGATGCAAGGAGCCCTAATCCCTTCCCCCTTTTATCCGCCGCGAGGCCTCGGGCCGGAGGTGTATAGGTGGTCAGAACAGGCACCCCCCTCCAAATCCTCCCCCCTCACCCCCTTTTTCGGACCCCTTTTTTTGGCCTCAAATGGGTACCCCCCCTGGGAAACCGGGGTCCGCAAGCGGACGGTTCGCCAGGACCAGAGGCAGTTGAAGCCCCCCCCCACCCCCCCCCCACCCCCCCCCACCCCCCCCCCACCCCCCCCCTCCCCTGTCCCCCCCACCCCCCCCACCCAGCCCCCCCCCCGCCCCCCCCACCCACCCCCCCCTCCCCCCCCCCCCCCTCTCCCCCCCTCCCCATGCCGAAGAGTCAACCTAAGAACCAAGCTCAACCCTACGATCACTCCAAGCCGAACCCTAAACCCAAAAACCCTCAACCCCAAAGCGTGAACCTTAGCCCTAAACTAACCCTCAACCCACCCCAAACCATAAACCATAAACCCGGAACCCTCAACCCTCAACCCTCAACCCAACCTTATTGCTTGGGGTCCAGCGACTTGGGCGCTGCGGAATCACCATGCTCACGCGCGATGCGCTGCCGGGCCGAGGCGGGTCGCGTAGCGTTAAAATTAAACTCCCCCCTAATTATAAAACACTTTCCGGAAAATCCTGCCGAAACCGACCCCGCCTTTTAAACCCTATTCCGAATTAGGGGGGTTCAGGGCTCCCAAAACCCGCAAGCCAACCAACATCCTGAAGCTCCCTTCCCTCCCTTCCCAGCCTAGACCCTAAACCCTTTGGACCCCAAACATGACATTTGGATAAACACCTCCCCCTAATAATAAAAACACATTTCGAGTTTCTATGGGGGGGGGGGGGGGCGTCTAATATTAGGGGGAAGGGATTAACTCTTGAGGATCTCGCAGCATTCCCAGGCCGGCAGGGCAGCTATGTCGACCGCAAAGGTTTTTCAAGACAGCGATGTTTTCACGGTGAAAGCCCACGCCAGCCTACCGTAAGCACGAGAGGTCTCCGAAACTTCGCCGGGGCACTGGTGAGCCTGCTGCAGGAACCTGAGGAAACGGACTTTGCTTGCCTCTTACGCTGCAGGTTGTGCTTGGGATCCTTCTTTGTTAAGGGATCCGGTGATTGGAAGCAGATCCTATGAGGGGACCCGCATCCTCAATGACCCCAGTAGGGTATGGAGTCATCTTGCAGGGCTTGATGGGCATGCAAGCCTTGGGGGATCAGGATGCCTTGTTGTGCCGGGTATGCTTATGACTTATGACCGACAACATACCATGGTCCCCCCCCGGCCCGACCCCAACCCCCACCGACAAAAAGATATTTAGAAAGACTTGGTAAGCCTGTCAGAGACCTTGTCGTCTAGTGGTCAGGACGTCGCGTCGTGGCCGCAACAAGCCAGGCTCGACTCTGGTGGGACATTTCAGAACAGGAAGAAAGGAACAGGAAAGCAAGAGCCATGCAGAAAAAAGAAAGAGAGAGGGAGAGGGAGAGGGAGAGGAAGAGGAAGAGCCCCTCACCCCCCCCCCCCCTCCCAAAACCCTTTTTTCACTCCAAGGCTCAGCGGATCCGAACTTACTGCCTCCCCCCAAACCCTAACCGTTAACCCTAAACGGAGGTGTGGGGGGGAAGGGGGCGGCCGTACTTGGCCCCGAACCTTTAAGAACTTCAAAAGAACTTCAACTCGTCCCCGTAACAATCCGGGTAGCGCGATCGCGGAGCTGTCAGGCAAGGCCACAACGCCGATCATGAGTCTATGTTCAAAAAGAACAGATGCGTCAAGGTATGGTTCGGGTGGGTCTCAATGCTCACAGTCGGATTGTCCAGGCTGTTGCTTCTTCTGCTTTAAACATCCCTTCGGATCTGACTGCTCATCTTGTGAGATTTTGAGCCGCGACTCTGCACTGGGGCTGCCGGGACTGAGAAGCAGATGTCTGCTGGTGAAACGAACTAGTGCTCTGTTTAAGCAAGTATCCTCTGTCCCTCTTCTGCACGAATGCCTCGCAACTCAACTCGGAGCATTCTGCAGCATGAACTCCTCTTTCACCCAAAGGGCTACAGTGAACCCCTGACAACCCAAGCGGCGCACCCAGCTGGCTTTTGTAGCTTTAGCTTTCGGGCTCATCGGGAATGCTAAGGGCACAGCACTTCGCGCACTTTGGTCAGAGGCTCTCTTTCAAGCGATCCAAGCGATCGAGGCAGAGCTTCAAATTTGCACAGTCACGATCTAAAGGGGGGTGATCCAGTGACGGTTCGGAGGTGGAAGTCCCCCAACTGTGTCCAACTCCTTGATTCTTCTAATTCTGCCCATCTCCAAACCTTTGTTGATACACCGGGTGGGTTCACCCTGACCTCACGAATGCAACGAAGCTCAATTTCAGCTCTTCTTCCCAGCCCTTGGTCGTTTGCAATCTCAAGCCCCCAGAATTTCAAGGACTCAACGAGTCAGGGTATGTTGTGGTTGGGGAATGCGCCAGGATGTGTTTAACAGTTGTCTAACTTTGACCAATACGTCGCTCATGGCACATCTTGCTTTGGGATCTGTACATCTGCACCTGCGCATGGGTTCGACGAGAAGTGTTTTGACTTCGGGACAGGTTGATTGAAGATGCCCTTCTCAGACTGCGGCTGAAGAGTCACTTAAGAAAGCCCAGCCTGAGCGCCGCATAAAAGCCGCACTTCCACGTGCACGCCGTGGGATCTGCTCTCCCCCCCCCACTCCCGCCCACCCCAACAACCCCCACAACTTGTAAAAAACCTCAGCCTCATCCAAAAACCCTGTCCCAGGCTCAAAAGCCCTGAACCTCAAAGCACATGCAAAAAAAAACCAGCCACACGAAGTTACGACCCAGTGACCCGGTGGGCAGCTGCGTCGGCTGGCGCCGCGGCTTCACCTTCACGAAAGGCTTCGCGAATCGGTGAAACCCTGAATCATAAACGCCCTGAACCCGAAGCTCAACCCCGAACATCCCCAAACCCTGATCAGCGACTGCAAAAGAAACCTAAAAAATCACCAAATTCTGAAATTCTGAAAATGTCAGTTGAAACCTTTGGCTTCAGATTTTCGCTCCCCCGCTGAAGCTGTCAAAAAACCTAGAGCCCAAAGCTCAACCCTCAAGCCCAGAACCCTTAGAACCGAGGCTTGAAACGCTGACCATCGCACAAGCTCAGCAGAAAACCCTTTTGCATGCTGGCCTGGGTAACCTCTGAAACCCTTTTTGAAACCCTTTTGCACAACTCACACCCTTAACCCAAACGCAAACCCAACAAACCCAAGAGGACCGGGAATTTGCGGGGTGGGGAGGGGGGGGGCACGTGTGTGCGCAGTTTGGGATTGGGGATGGTGCAGGTGCCACTTTTCTCCAGGTCGTGCGTTCGCAAGGGCGGCCAACTTGCTGGTTGTTCGTGGGGAACCCTAAGCCCTTTTGAATACTGGGCTCCGGGCAATCTCGTCAGCTGCATGTGTGATACAAACCAGACCGGTTTGTGTATGAGCATCAGGAGTATGACGAGTAATTATGCAGAAGCAAAGACTTAGGGAGTATGCGACCTGCACAGGTGGCACAGGCGGTCACAGGACGCATCTGAGACGCGCAAACATCAGTAAATTACGTAAACCCTAGCCCTAAACCCTAAACGGGGTTGAGGTGTAGAAAGGTATGTACAACCCCCCTACAGGTGCCCCACAAAGAACCAGCAGATCAACAGCTCGCACTCTTTGAAACGCGGCCTTCCTGCCGCAGATATAAGATGTGACCAGGCTTGTGTGGACTGAAGGATGCTAAGGGATAGACTGGTGTCACGCCATGGTCACCGGAACGAGGCAGCACAGAAAATTCCATGAGTCCCAACACCTAGAACTCAAAACCCAAACCCTAATCGCCATGAAACCCAAGGCTTGATCACGGCTTAGAGGGTTCAGGGTGCGGATCTTAGGGTTGGGACCAGGTCGGGAACTCACTGTTCCAGGTCCAACCCTGTTCAGAAGGGCTAGGATGCAGGGGGATGCTGTGAACCTTTGCCCGCACATGTGGAATACGGCCTGCACGCAGCTCTTCACCCCTGAAACCACCCTACTCACTGAGCACGAACGTGTCGAGAACGGTCGCGAACTTCTTGCGGTAATCGGTCGACAACTGAGAGCGGTGTTGGACTTCGGGTTCAATCGATATTCGGACGAACCAGACGGGTCATGCCCCCTTGGATTCTGGTGAGTTTTTTGGAGCTTAACTTACTTTAAGAAGGAGTTACCAGAAAATTGGGCATGCAGCGCAGCTTCTCTGTCTTCTATGGTAACTTGACTAACGTTCCTTAACAGCAGCCCCGACTCTCGGTTTTGGGTTGGGGACCACGGCTGGGGTTTGTGAGACCCTTCTGCCGTTGACAGGATCGACTGCTGAGCTAGGACTTGCCAAGAACTGTTGAGGTCAGGTGACCCCAAAACCCATGAACTTCTCATGAACTTGCGGGCTTAGGGTTTCGGGTCTACGACGTAGGGTGCGGAGCGCGGTCTCAGGTGCCCAAAACCCGAAGCCAACAAAAATAGAAACCCACGGGCTTGGGGGCTTGGCATGCTGTGGATGTCCGAAGCCCTCACCGCACACTCCAGATTTGCGTGGCAGGCTGCCTCCTTCCAGAAGGGGTGGAACCACACTTCGGGCGCGCCTTCCAGTAGCAGGAAGGGGATGTGTAGGCTTCATCTTCGATGGCATTCGAGGCTCTGTTTCGGCTTCTAGGGGGCTTTTAAGTGGGGAGCCGTTTTTCCCAAACTAGGTCCCCTTTTGGTGGCCCTTCTCAAGGGAAGACACCTCCTAAACCCTGTTTCACCGTCCGTTATTAGGGATGATAGTACCCCTAACAATCCTGAGTGATATTTCTATAAGGGAAACATCCCAAGTTGGCTTTGTTTTGGGCGTCAATTGTGGCCTTGCAAGCACATGTGGCGTACAAACAGAGGTGTAGGCCTTCTGTTGCCCTGCGACGCCTGCTGGAAGCCTTGTCTTGGCTTTTCTCGGGTCAGGGTGGTGAGGGTCAGCAAGCAGAGGGCGCAAGGCCTGAAAACGGGCAGGCCAGAGCCGCACAACAGGAGCCAGGCAGCAGGCAGGCTGCCCCTAAACCCCAAAGTGGCCCTTTGTTCATAAACCCCGCACGACATCCAAATCCAAAACTTGATGGACAGAGGGTTTAGGAGTATGAGGCTTTCATGGTGTGTAGAGTTACAGTCGAGCCTTCTTGCTCGTTCATGCCAGCGACCTGCAGCAAGGTTCGAAAGGTGACCAGACAAGGGTGGTTTAGGGTGATTAGAATTTACGCCGAAGGGACATCAGGGCTATTTGGGCTTGGAGGCTCAGAAGCTCAGGGTTGGGGAAGGCTTCGATGGCTTTGGGTAATTTACACCGCGGAGCGTAAAGCCAGAAAAACTAGCGTCAAAGAACGTAAGCGCCGGGGTGCTAAGGCCTGTCGGACCCAGCATCCACGATACAAAGCGAACCACGCAAGGTCTCTACGACAAGACTTGAAGGGCATGTGCCAGGAAACTTTTTATATCAAAGTATGCATACCATGCCAATGAATAGCAGCACAGGGCTCAGCCACACCTGCACAAATACTTTCGTGCAATGAACATGCACCTCATGCAATGCTCCCGGTAACCCAACCGCATACGCCATGCCACCCAGCCTGGGTCAGTGAGGTCAGCGCGATGCGCAGGGAGGGTGCGCCGATCAGCTCGATCCTCAACATTCCTTTGGGCTTGTTTCAGGCTGCCTCGAGCTCTAAGCCCTCTAAAGCCGGGAGCAAAAACACACACCAAAGCTCTTGACTACGACCGAATTTCGGGGGCCACCCGCAGGAACGGTTTCATAACTCCCCGATGGCAAGCAAGCCGGAGAGTTGAGACAGGGCAGGAAATCTAAAAGCACGAGTTTCTCATGTTTTGGTCGGCTTTGCAGAATCGCCGCGCGTTGCCTCAACGCTCATGACGATGCACGAAATCATGGTGGAGGGACAGGAAAAACAGTGGAAAGCTGCTACCTGCAGGGCGACAAAGAAAGACTTAATAAAACGGGGGAAGGCCCTACCAAGCCGTTTGCGATGCAGATGCCTACGTGGAGCCGGCGATCACCGACTCCAGCCATGATGAGACCAAGAAGTCCTTGATCACTGTGGATGATGGGCTGATCAGCCCTTTCCAGAACTGGTTGGCCTATTGCTGCGACCGCCACTTCAGGAGCATCCGAAGCAGCAGCCGTGGCGGCTCCTGGTGTGTGTAGGGATTCCATCTGTCATCAGTAGTCTCATTCACCTTCACATGCGCAGTGCATGGGCGTGGTGGCAAGCCTCAAACCAAAGACGACAACAACAATGCACAAGATACAAGCGCCAGCAAAACACATGCATAATGTCATGCCTTCCTTTATTTTCCTGTCCATCTCATATCACCGATCAGGTTGGTCTGTGTTATGGGGCAAAGTCGTTCCTGCCCGAAAGGTCGTTGATGTTTCCTCAGCCAGGGCAGCTCGCCTCTGTTCCTGCCAACGGACCTGCGACTGCTCCATGCGACACCGAAAATCCGCAGGGAGGATACGACAAATGGCGGTTCACATCTGCATGTCATGATGCACTGCCCACCTAAGCTCTCGCATGACGAGCAGGGACGTAGCGGGTTGCACCACAAGAGGTCGACGTCATCTCAGGCAAGCTCAACCAAACTTAGCCCGGCACCCACCCAAACCCAGAAGCACACCTCTGAGGCCTTCTTACCAGAAACTTCCCGCAACCCAAAACAGCGTTGGCCAGACCTCCGCCCAGGAACCTACGCCCCAAGCCCTGAAATTCAGCTGATCGCCCACTCTCGCACGCGGCAGGCAGGGTTTCGCTTTGCAAGATGGAGACCAGCCAGGATGATCTCTCTCAAGGTTTCTGTGCGAAGAAACCTCCTGAACCCCCTCGTTAACCTCAACTCAAGCAAGAGCGTGGTTTCTCTCCTGGTCCCCTAAGGCCTCAAACCTATTCCAAGCTCAACTGAAATCTCCGCCTCAACCACCTAAAAAAAATCGGTAATGAAACATGTCGCTCATATAGAAGCAAGCGGCCCGACTCATCCAGTTTGCCCTTGACAGCACCTGAGGTTTTAGGTTTTCTCGCTCTGGGCTGTTTAGGGTTTGGAGTTTAGGTCACTTCTTGATGTGTGCGTCATCCTTGCGCAGGGGCCAGGCCTTTCATGCTCACGCAAGTTGACCTCTTTTGCACCCTAAACCCTTAACCTGGAGTCTTTGTGAGTTGAAGCTCCAGAGACATTCAGAACTTGGAAAACGGCTTGGGGCCCCGGTGTGTGTGAGTGAATGATCTAACTGTTCCAGGGGGGTTTGGGGGAGTTTAGGGACGGTCCTGACACGGCCAAGTTCAAGCATGAGATTGGTTCGATGTATTGAGCTGCCTCCAAACCAGCATTGTCCCTTGTTAATGTTATCAGGGATGCTATCACAAGCGGAGTGGTGAAATCCTATTCATGCATCAAGATCAAAGGCCCAGTTCTTTCAACAACTGGCTGTTGCCTGCTTTGAACTAAGTAACTAGTATGCTCTTCAAGTTCTGATCTGCTGCTCTAAATTGGGATCCGGGAGAATGTTTATGATATTTTTGATGCTTGCTGCATCCACGGGCAATCGACCTTTCATATTTTGCCTCACGGCCTAATGTTGAACAGTTCATCTTGCCAACCAAGATCATTGATTGACATATTGCGGCAAACGTGCGTGTGCTCAGCTTTGAAGCATTGGGTTCTAACACAAGCCGACGAGCAGAAAAGGGGCGCAAAGCCGAAAAGTCCGAAAAGCCACCCAGCCACCCAGCCACCCTAAACCCCAAATCCTAAACCCTAAACCCTAAACCCTTAACCCTAAGAAGCTTCCAAACTTCAAGGAGTCCAAAACATGGACAGACTCTGGGGCCCACCGGACTTCCCAGTTCTAGATTTCTTGTCTCAAGAGTCTGAGTCCTGTAAGGCTAAGATGTAGAACAATGTAGAGGACAGTACCCCAAGTGGGGTTGCTCTATATTGGGGTCCCCGCATCCTCTGGGATCCCCTAAACCCCCTAAAGCCCCCTGAGCCCTAATCTCTGGAAGCCTAGGTGCCAGCCAGCTTTCGGGCATTGCTCTCTCCACCAACTGGGTAGACCTGTGGCTTGCTTTCAGGTTTTAGGGTTTTTGGGATTTGGGGATTTAGGGATTTAGGGTTTAGGGTTTTAGGGGCGGGGCCCAAGTCTAAAAGCCCTACTCCCGAACGCTTCGCGGAAGAGCACCAAAGCAGACACAAAACCCCCTATACCAGACATCAGTCCTAAAACCTACGTGGTGAGGACTCGAAAGAGCAGAACTACCAAAGTCGGCTCATGGATCGAACGGCGGCCAACCAGCTCTCGCACATAAGCGGTACCCCGCAGAGAAGGGGCCGACAGAAATTCAGGATACTTCCTCATTTGCCACCCGAGTACCAAGTCGGAGGAGAACTTGCAGCAAACATAACACATTCGCCTAACCAGAGGAAATAAGTGGGTCTGCGGGTCAGGAGCACCCCCGGAGCACCTGCCCTGACGGGCCAGTACAAAGAAACCCCATAAACGGCCCGTGAAGATAAGACTAGTAATATGCCAGGCGGACAAAAGAACTTATCACTGCCCGGTTAAGTTGGATATTATGCTCTTAACGGGCCCTTATTGTATGCCCTTGATTTTGCCGCTATTTAGTACTTACATGTACTGCAGCTCAAATTCCAGCCCTCTTGAACCCTAAACGCCTCAAAGGGCTCAATGCAGGAAGTCCACCCCCAGGAGCTCAAGACACCACCCATTTAGGTACCAAAGCAACACTCCAGGCGAATCAGGATGTAGGGAAGCAGAAACGGTTGCAATATCGGCCTCCAAGTCGGAGGTGCCCTGAGCCATGTGTTTGGCTTGGCAGGTTCTTTAAATGAGGGTTCCCGTTTGCTAGGCCTTTTTATACGGCAGGGTGTTAAATCGGCTTAGGGTGTTTGCGCCCCTCTAGGGTGAGGGCGATGTGGTGGCGTCGAAATTATTCTCAAATCATAGCTGTCCTCATCAGGCAGCCCAAACTGACCATGGAATTCTAAGTATAGCCACCAAAAGCCCGAAACCCCAAAGGGATTTCAACCTTGGGCTTGGCGGTGCTTTACAGGCCACATCCCCAGCTCTGTGAGTTTTGGGGGGGAGGGGAGGGGGAGGGGAGGTGGGGGGGGCGGGGGGGTTACCCTCATTCTGCTCCCAGCTAGGTTTTTCGTGCTTAGGGTACTGTAGGGCTTTAAGGGCTTTGGGGTTCTTTTCGGTTTTTGAGGGTTCAGGGCTTTGGGGTTGGGTCTAAAGGTACGCTCAACTCTTGCGGGAACTCTTGCAGAATGCTAAGTGAGCTTCTGGGTTTCTCAGACATTTGGCTTCGTCCCTCGCTGAGCCTGGGCTTGAGCTTAAGGCTTGGGAAAAGATGGACAAGCAGACCTGTGTAAGTCTGCGAGCCTGTGAGTGGTATCCGTTGCTGCGCCAGAATGGGCTCCAAATCTAAAACTGCCCAGTCACAAATTCATCTCCCCAGTAGAAGGACCCGAAACCAGCCTCCTCCTCATCGGCATGGAGCTTGCTCGCCATAGGCCCCTTGAGCTCCTTCGGGGGGAGAGCTTGATTTAGTTCCTGCCCCCCGAGGAAGAGGCAAGCTTTACAAATTAACGCTGACCCAGGGCCAACGCCTCACTTGTGACTATGAAAGTGGCTCACTTGCGACTCTCACCAAGATCACTCGCGACTCTTTCACCCCAAACGCAGCTCCCGCTCAGAGGGGGTGAGAGGGGGTTCCGGCTCATCTGCGACTGACCAAAACATGGTTGGCTCACTTGTGACTATTTCATAATCACAAGTGACACCCCGAACACTACTTTCGAACCCAAAACCCATCCTGAACCTGGAAGTTCATCACCGTGAACGGCTCGCCGTCCCTCCGCGTGTCCTGACTGCGCAAGAGATTTGGGGCCTACGGGCTTAGAGGCCTGTGCTTGCATTCAAGGTGGATAAGCATGTTGAATCTGACCTCCAACTCAGGACGCAGCACATTCTGCTAGCCGGCCGATTTGCAGCAAAAATGCCTGTAAAAAGACTTTGTTTGTACTTCGGGATCTTCGATGTTGTCCAAGGAAGTATGCCATGTCGCGCCCTGGCCAACACCATCAGGGCCTGTCTCATAAACCCCGGCAAAAGGACCTGCCCTGCGAACGAGCAGCCACCGTGAACGTGGGGCGGACAATCAGCCGGCTGAGCTCGGTTTCTCCAGCCTCCTTCCTCTCAAGCGCTGCACTGCTTCGGGGCTTAAGAACAGGACACCTGGAACATCATCTGATGAACATGTTTCTCGAGCGCTCTGGTGATACTGGAGTGTGAGGGTGAGGCATACTTTCTACCAATAGGGAAGCAACACTAACATCTAGGGCATATGTTCAAGGACCCTCAATCAAATTGGACATGCTCCGACACGTGACCGTTGGCACCGTGCATTGGCACCAGCCCCGGCCCCGTGGGCAACAAGCACGTGAAAGGGATTTCTCTGCCGAGCTCCTGTCTTTCACCACGTACCTTACACACATGCAAGCCCCATTAGCATGGCAAACGGCATTCCGATGTTCGTGCAGCACATGGGGACGCTTAGGCCGCAAGCATCTCGTCCCACAACTTCCCCATCAGACCCGAAGCTCGCATGTCACCCCGAGCCCGAAACCACAAACCACAAAAATCCAAACTTGCTGAAGTTCAGAGATTCGCTGTTGCTTGCGGACAGACGGACGAAACAATGCTGTCCAAAAGGTACTGTGAAGTGTCTCGTGGCCTTTGGGTCATGGGGCGCCATGACCAAGAAATCCCGGCGCGCCTTTAAGCGCATCCTCCTCCTCTGAGTGCTGCTTTTGGTAGCGACAATCCCGGACAACTTGCCGACCGGATGGCTTTCGTTTGCCGGCCTGTCGCCTCTTACCCCAAAGCCCTGTTGTATCTGGTCTCGCAGCGACTGCTACCCCAAATAAGTCTTTTTTTGCATCTAGGCCTCTCTGACATCCGCCGGACAGGGTGCCACACAAATGAAACTTAAACCCAGGCAGAGGCACAACTACGTCACGCAAGCGGGCTTCGTGATTAGGCAATCACAAGGCCTAAACCTGCCTCGCAAAGAAGCCAAGAACCCTAGTTCACAAAGCTCGATTTGTGCAGCCCAAATGACTGCCCTGAACCATCCAGCGCTGGGCAAAATTCAGCAATATCTACGACCCAATCCCCCAAATTTCAGTCCCAACCATGAAACCAAAAAAAAATGAGAGTGGCCCTCTTGCGCTGGACTAAGTGACTACTGCCACGGCACCTATTCGCTCTGATCACCGCGGACAGCGCGGTCTGCATGCACCTCCTCGGGTAAGTGTAAGGTTGAGGGCATGCAAGCGGCATTTCAGGCTTAGGCCTTGGGGATATTTAGGGTGGCCCCAAGCCGCGCATCGTATGATTTTGAAATCATACTGCCGGGTTTATGGACACAGAGAGTGTGAGTGAGTGGCTGGCTGAGTGAGTGAGCTGAAACGATTTCTGACCCTGAAGACGACTTTGACGTGAGCCCCCTGATGTTGCCATAAGTCTCCTTTGAATTACGAACTCCAAGCGTCGTCATGCCAACAAAAGGACAGCGTCCGGGCAAAACCCGAGGCAAAGGCAGGATACGCCAGATAAGGCCACCGTGAGCTGCTGGCAGCCGCAAGAAACAACTGCTGCATCTAGGCAGTATCAACTCACTGGATCACTGTTTCGGGGCCTGAGGATCCCGTTTTGGGTCCAAGAGACAGGGAGCGGGAGTGACAGGCGGGCAATGCCACAGCGAATATCTCAGCAAAAGCCACAAGGATTCGAGGCCAGCCGCTTGAGTCGCCTGGACCCACTGAGGGCGGCGCTAATGGCCAAGACAAATGGGCAAACCAGACATGCGATCGCTGCTGGCCGGCGTTGCCGCTGCAACCAGGCAAAAGCGATGGGGCCATTATGCCCTTAACGAGTTAGATGGAGGCAAGGGACAACGACAAAGGCATGGAGCGGTTCCGTGCTGGTGACAGTAGCACACTCCGAGTTCATCCACGTCGGGATGATTTGGTGTATCGGCCGTATCCAAACCATCCTGGGCGTACATACCCTGTTGGGTCGCACGGCGGTGTGGCCAGGATGGTTGGCCGATGGAACTCTGAGAGCGACGTGTCCGAGGTCTCGGTGATACCAAGCACCGCCGGTCTTGGGACCTTTGACTTCCAGCCTACGTGTGTTCAAGCTGACAAAATCGAGTGGCGAAAACATTGTAGAAATGATGACAGATGAGGAAATCCCGATCATTGCTATAAGAAACACAAGAAACAGAACATCTGTTTTTTTACGTAACAATGGTGGCATGGGAGATGCGTACCTGAGTGCGCGTGTGCGTGCGCACACTTGGACAGGACCTGCCGAAATGCTGCAGCTGCAAGTAGGAACCTTGCGCCTTCAACTTTCGAACTTGGATGTGGTGTCCCTGTGCGTGCGCGCGTGCGCGCGTGCATATGTAGGTAGGCAAGTAGGTAGGTAGGCAGGCAGGTAGGTAGGTAGGCAGGCAGGCAGGAAAGTTGGTAGGTAGGCGCGACTGCTGGGTGCACCCAGATCCTTAGAGAGTGTGATTTACTAGGGGCTGCAAAGTAGATTTGTGTGAATGGCGATTTCCAATCAAGTCGGGTTTGGTTCTTCAGCTGCACGCAAAGGGTGGGCCTCTTCACTTCAGAAGGGCATGCATGTCCTGCTTCTATGTCCTATCTTCAGCGAGCGGGATGAATGTTACGGTCATGCGCTTCAGCCACGGGTGTTTGAGGTCATGCTACATGGACACAGATGTTGTTAAGCAATTTAGCAAAGAGATCGAATCACCGGCCTTACCCTTCGAAATGGCGTAAGAACAGTACCACGCACTGAGGCGATTGTTGAATGTGGGCCAGCGGCTGTTTGTTGTTAATGGGCAACCCCTGTTCCATCTAGTGAGGCCTCTGTATGACGAACTTACAAACAAGCACCCTCAAGGTCTTTGCCATGACTCATTCCAGCAAACCTCATCGTGACTTCGCCCGAGCTCTGCAGGCGGCTCTTGATGGCACCGGCCAATTTGAACTGGCGCGTCGCGGGTGAATTCCTAGGACCCCTTAAGTCGCACCGGGATAAGCTACCCTGAATTCCCGTTCTTCCTTCCGGGCTCCTCTTCTTTTGCCAGGCTCTGCCTACGCCCTAGAATCCCTAAAGCCTGAAACACCATGCGCCTAGAGCGGCAATTTGCAGCTCGGACAAGCGAGGCTTGTGCATAGACGGGTTGACTTACAGCAGCAATTCCGAAGGCCGATCATTGCTGTAGAATATCTTGTTCTAGCGGTTTAGGGGCCAAGGGCCAAGGTGCAGCTTTGTGTTCTGTAGGGTTCACAAACAACCCTCCTGGACCGTTACCCCAAAAACCCAAAGATGTAAACCTGCGGTTGATATGCATGATGTTGATTGCAGGAATGGCAGGGCCTACACTACCCAAGTCAAAGGCTACTGCGAAAAGTCAGCATCAACTGTGAAGGCATGCTGGTTCAAGATATCCCGGCCGCCTCCAGTCATGACATGTCGTTGCCACTCTGCTCCCACAACATACTTCCTATTTGGGCATTTGGCGCCCGAAGACACCAATCAACTCACTCCCTTCTCCTAAATCAACTCACTCACCGCAGAACCAGTGGTACCTGCCGGTGCGAAGGTCCCAGAGCATCCGTGGGTCTAAACTCCAAAACCCGAAACACCAACCGCAGAACCCGTGCCACGGGGTCCTTTGGCGTCTCTGCACCGACGTAGAGCATCTCGTTTTCTGGGACCTCCATGAGATGGGTAGCTCTCTAATTCATGTTGGGTTCCTATGTCAAGTTGCATTCCTATGTCAATGCGGGACCTCATAGTTAGGGGTTCCCAAAAAATAGGACCATGATGTAGATTTACACAGGCTGCAGGGGGTTTTTAGGCTTTGGGGGAGGCTTGGCCACGGATCCGAGTGAAGACGCAGCGGTGTCTGCCAATAACTACGGTTCTGGAGGAGCCGCGGACCCCCTCTTCTGATCCCCACGACCTACTCGAACCCCACTGCGCCTCTGCGGGGGCCTCCGCAGCCTCCACAGGCATCATGGGCCCCATAGGGCCCTCCTCCTCCATGCTCTCCATGCTGTCTATGCTCTCCAGGCTTTCCAGGCTCCGCCGGGCCGTGCGCTCCGAACGCGGCCCCGAAGGCCTTGTGATCCTGAGTCGGGTTTCGGCATTGGGGTGTGAGTTGGGATGTTCCCTCTTATACGAACAGTCCCTTTAATTGGGACTATAGTAGGGGGTTCTAACATCCTTCTTAAGGACTGTTCGTATACGGGGGAACATCCCAAGGTGTGAGTGTGAAGGGGAATAGGGGTTCTGGGCAGGGCAATGTTGAGGGTTCAGGGTGGATTCAGGGAGGGTTACTTTGACCGTGCCAATAAAGGCCGGCAGAAAATCTGCAAACATGCACAACTTCAGGGCACCCTACTGGCATCTTGGTCTTTGTAGCTCAGGCTTTCAAGCTGCATGCTCGGTTTGACGGTGTTTGCGTTCATGTAATCCTTTGCAAAGGCACGGTTTTAGGAACGCACGGAGTTGCGACTGAACCCGACCGAACGCATGGGAACCCGACGGAGCGCACTGAACGCGAGTGAACGCTAACGGCCGGAGTGGACGAGACCCCGAAGAGACCCCGAAGAGGCCCCGAAGAGGCCGGAGAGGCCTGAAAGAAGCTTGGGATGACTGAACACGACAACTGTCAGCGGAGTGTGTCAGATTCCTAGCACGAATTGTCGCACACCCTTGTATCCACACACACCTCTCAACCCTGACCCTGCTTTCTTGAACCCTTTTTGCATCTGGACTCCTGGAGGCTCCGGCCCTACACCCTTAAATCCCGACCCATGCATAGCACGCGCACCCAGGTAGCAGGAATGAAGTCGGACGCCACTGCAGCACCACAGCTCCCAGCAGAAGCCTGCTGAGATGGTGAGGAGGCATTCTGAAGCTTAGAAGAGTAAGGAAAGGGCACTTCTGTGAAGAAGCTCTGGAAGAGTTTATCCTTGCGTTCACGCCGTCCGACTCAAGGGGCGAGTGTCAAGGGTTGGAGGTTAGGATCAACGATTAGGAGGATAATATAATGGTCTGGGATCAGAAGCCACGTGACCCTGCAAGTCGCATCGCGCGATGCGAGGAAGCCATGGCTGCAGCAGCCAAGGCGGAAGGCCAAGTGTTGGGGGTCGCTTGGGGTCTTGGAGGTTAGGCCTGGTACGATTTTACTTGGGTCTCAAGTCCTGGGTTCGGGATGGCTTGGGAAGTGCCGATAGCTCGCGCACGAAGTTGCCTGGATAGATGCCTTCCTTATTCTTGCTCGTGCTGATGTGCTGCGTCAATGGGCAACCCGCGAACCAACTTATCCCACCAAGTTTACCGAATATTTTCGAGTTACAGCTACAACATCTGGGGCGAAAGTCTTTTCCCCGTATTTAGTAGTTTTGGCCGATTGTTTCTAGCTATGGTCTAGAAACCCTACACAGAGCGATGTCGAGAAAGTTTTTCAAGACAGCGATGGTTTCAAGGCAGAGCCCGCAAGCGAAACGTCGCCGGGGCACTGGTGAGCCTGCTGCAGGGAACCTGAGGAAATGGAGGGGGCGTTGCTTGCCTTCGCTTCTTAAGATGCAGGTTGTGCTTGGGATCCTTCTTTGCAAAGGGAACCGGTGATTAGAAGATATTAGAAGCAGATCCTTTGAGGGCACCCTCATCTTCAACAACCCCAATTGGGTATGCAGTCATCTTGCGGGGCTTGATGGGCATGCAAGCCTTGAGGGATCAGGATGCGTTCAGGGTGTTTTTGGGGGGTGCCTTTTGCGGTGTGCAGGTATGCTTATGACAGACAAAAAGCATGGTCCCGCCACCCCCACCCTCGCTCCCGCATCTCCACAGATCAACGTGGGCTTGAGTTGGGGGCCTAACGGCTTCATGTTAGCCCGAAACAATCTTGCACCGAACCTTTAAGAACTTAAACCTGTCGCCTAAACAGTCCAGGTAGCGCGATCGCGGAGCTGCCAGGCAAGGCCACAACGCCGATCATGAGTCTACGTTCAAAACGAACAGTTGCATCAAGGTCTGGTTCGGGTGGGTCTCAATGCCCGCGATTCTGCAGGACTAGGAATGGGAAGCATGAAAAATCTTGCACGGTGCTGTCCGGTGATGTTCGCTGGTGAAACGAACTAGAGAGGTTTCGGGAATGGTTTCGGGTAAGCACCCACACTCAACTCGGAGCATTCTGCAGCATGAACTCCTCCTCTCCCTTTCGACTCAAGGGCTAAGCCTCCAAGCATTGAACCTCTGACGACCCAAGCGGCGCACTCAGCTGGCTTCTGGAGCTTTCGGGCTCATCTGGAATGCTAAGAGCACCGCACTTCGCACACTTTGATCCGAGGCTCTCGCAGGCGATCCAAGCGATCGAGGCCAAGCGCGATCTTAAAGGGGCGCTGTCGTGGAGGTGAAACTCCTCCAACTGTATCCAACTCCTTGATTCTTCTAATCTTGTCCATCCCCAAACCTTTGCTGATATCGAGGGTAGGTTCAACCTGACCTCACAAATCTGACGAAGCTCAAATTTGCTCTTCGTTTAGGCCGTCTGCAATCTCAAGCCCCCGGAAGCTTAAGGATTCAAAGGGTTAGGGTATATTGTGGTTGGGGAATGGGCCAGGATGGGCTTTACTTTTGCCAACACGTGGCTCACGGCACATCTTGCTCGGGATCTGTACATCTGCACCTGCGCATGGGCCCGGCGAGAAGCCTCCTGGGTCAGGGGACGGACTGAAGATGCCGCTCTCAAACTGCGGCTGAAGAGTAATACAGGGGCCTTGATAATTCGAATAGGGCTTTGGGGGTTATGATTAAGCATAACTACGAAGGGGCCATAAGGGAATATTATTAGTAATTCTTCCGACCCCTGTATTAACTTACATATGTCTGCCGCATACTGCTCTAATGGATGCATGGTTGCCATTGTAGCTGCCTGGATTTCCCGGTTTCTCTTCTCAACCACAGCAAGCGAGCCAGCCTCCATCAGATCTGGATGGCTTCAGTGTCCTGAACTTTGCGAGGGCCAGGCCTTGCAGAAATGCGACCAATGAGGATCAAGCTTCTGAATAGGCAGCACTGTGAAGTTGATAGAACCCCCCCAAGACACCCATGCAACCCACCCCGAGAAGAACTTCTAAGCGCTGGGAACCCTACCTGGGATAGTGCAGGAAGCGCAGGAGCATGTCCTCAGCGCGATCTTAGGTCTCAAGGTTTTCCCTTCAACCCTAAGTTGCAGTACGCAGCTGGATTACCTCAAAAACGAAGATGTGGGTTTGAGCACAGTTGCCGAACACACGTTCGATCCTAAGTGGCGTGAAGCTCCACATGGGGAAGTCCTGATAAAGCTGGCCAGATTGGGGCGGAGGGCTTTACGGGCGGTCGGGCCGGTTCGCACACCAATTGATAGATGGGAGAGTAAGAGTAAAAATGAAGAAATTGAGAACCCGCGGCCCGTATCTTTTGCACTTATGAACGGGTCCGCGACCACTTTTTTGCACGCAACATCAGCAAAACAAAAACGGAGCCACGAACAGACGGAGGGATGCCTAGTTTTGTTGAATCAACGTTGCCGCGCCATGCCATGGTCGTAGAGACGCAGCAGGCGTTCTGCAAAACTATGCTTTGTCCGATTGCTTGAACCGACAGAGTCCAGAGAAGATCGCTCTTGCCGAAAAAAGGACACCAAGAAAAGCTTTCAGCGTACCGTGCGGCATGGTGCTTATCTCGTTCATTCTCGTTCTATGCTAAACGCACTGCAGGATCTCAGTAGGGATGGCCATGACGTATCATACGACGAAGACGTATCTGAAGGAGCCAGAATCTTCCAGAAACTTTACGGCACGTTGCTGCTGGAGTCTTCGCGAGACTCTCGAGTTCTGCTGCCTCACACATTGCGGAAGCTCGAAAACCGAGTAAACCTCCAGAACTTCTTCAGAACCAGGCCACAACTGCGGACAGAGGCTGATTCATGGGCACAAGGTGTCCTTTTGAGCGAGGGGGTTTGGGGTTCGATTGCACTGGTGGAAGTCGCGGTTTGGGATTTCGGAGAAGCAGGTACGTCCTTGCAAACGGAAATCTCAGAGCCACACCAAACAGCTCTTAAACGCCAACCCCTCTACTTTAAGTCACACAACCTTCCAAGCCTTTCAACAGGCACTCGAAAGCGCCCTAAGCTGCTAAACTGGGGTGCCGGATTCCTGCTCCCAGAACGACGACCTGCTCCTTGGAAGGGCGGGAGGAGGCTTCAGCGTTTGGAGTCGGATTTTGGGGCTGGAATTTTGGGTCCCCCTGCAGATTGCTAGGTGGGTGCTACGTCTACGCAATGGGGTCTCTGCTAGGTACCTTGACCCCAACGTGGAGGTGCGGCTTCTTTGCGGCTGTGCCGTGCGAATCTGCGAGGGCCCAAAATGCCCAAAGTGCTATCACCTACTTCGTGCCTTTTCTGCTTCAATAGAGAAACTCTCAAGGGCGCACCCAAGTTCGCTGAGAAAATTGTTTGGGGTTTTGGGCCTGGGCCCAGGCTGGGCCCCCGCGCCAAATTCTGAAAACCGCGCCAGTAGCCTCGGTTGGAGCTGCGGGCTGGTAGGAGCTTGGGACGCTTTCGGACTCTTTAGGACTTCTGGCTGAGAGGGCTTAGCAGGTCGAAGCCCTGCTCCCCAAATCCCCTTGTCTGTATTCCGGAACTCCTCGAAAAACAATCCTTTGGGCCCAAATTGGCCCCATGGGGCTGCGGACGCAACAGAACATGCCACCTGCCATCCTGGCCAAGCCACATGGGTCGACAGCTGGCACAACAGTGCGTTCGAACTATGTCGAACTATATTTTGTTTCCTTCGGCCCTCCCCACCCCCTTTGAAGCTCTTGAGGTTGAAATCCCTAACGCGCCCACGAAACCGGCAATCTGGCCATCGGCAGCGCGGCGCCAGATTGTGCGGTTGGCCTGGAGGAAAGAGGCCGTGCCTGCCAAGGAGAAGCGCATTTTTTGCGAGAAGTCCTGCTATGACGGGGAAGCCTTCCGATCCGAATTTCGCTCCCATTTATGTGGAATGTGGCACCTTAGCTGGTCGGGCGGGAGGTTCTTTGTATGCCCAGCTTTCAGTGCCTCTTCCCACCCGTAGGAGGAATACCGGTACCAAGACCCTCCGAGCCTAAGACTTGCCCCTTCGACCACGGCCTGTCCAGTTGAGACTTCGGATCCACGCCGCGTTCGACACCACGCCGTCCTTCCTGAGGTTCTTTTCAGGGTTGGTTCTCCAATATCACAATCAGGCGTCCCCAACCTTGGCGCGAAGTCTGAGCAGAAGCACCTTTTAGCGATTAATGGCAATAGATCAAACCCACCCAATTAATGGAACTCAAACTGTCTTGTCCAGGCGACCAATCGAACTGCCCCTGGTAGAGGAGCACCCGTATCCCTGCCTTGAGCAAGTCCTCCACCTGACTGCATACTGCTTTGTACAGGCTGCGAAGCTTGTACGGCTTTTAGCGTCTAGAATTTTGAGAGGGAGGACTTGTCCCAGTGGCACCAATACCTGCCCAGGATCATGTCAGTCCAGGTAAAACGAATTGAAACGAGGCGTCCACTACGTGTGCTGAGTTTAATGGCAAGCCTGTCGATGCAGCTTTCACTTTTCGAAAGTCAAGGTGGTTTCGTTCTAATTTGCCCTAGACAGGAGTGAACGGACTAAGATGCCGTCTCAGCCTCCACTTGAAGAGCGCTCTGGCCTTTGGAACAGTGTACTCTCAGGGCCTGACACGTTGAACCCTAAACGTTTGCCCTTCAGGCGGTGAAGCCTTGAGAAGCCTCGTAACATCCTTTGCTTGCAGCGAGCCCTAGATTCTTTTGGATACAAGATTTCAGTATCTTCAATAGATCACCTTCCGGATTGCCTGGTGACAAAGATGGGGTTCATCCCGAACCGTTTTTCCTCTCAAAAACAAATAAGGGTTTCCGAGACTGGGTCGCTCCAGTCCCATCTCTAGAAAACAAGACGGCGCGCGGGAGGGCGGTGGACGGACCTCTACCTGCATGGCTCCTTGAGCCCCTTCAACAGAAGACCAGCGCTCACTAAAAGGCGTTGGTGCAGAGACTTCAAGTCTTGCACTCCAGCGCTTGGTTTTTCAAGGTGTTGAGGCTTTGGGTTTCGGGTTCAGGGCCTGTAGGGCTTGTAGTGTTGGGAAGTCTTGGGCGTTTTAGAAGAGCGAATTTATAGCCAGGAAAGCTTCAGTGGATTTCAGTGGTTTAGGCAAAGCTCCGCTGGCTTCTGGGACTGCATGATGTCCTCCCGCAGGTTCAACTTCACCTGCCGACTCGAGGAACGGTTGGGGAGGTCGGGACCACATAATCTTCAGGGGCACTGAAGGGGGCTGAAGCGGCCGAAGAAATTGGCCAATTGACCCAGAACTGCTATCAGAGAAAAGGAGCCTCGGCGGAGGTCGTCCCAAAGCGACGGCCACGGGGAATGTGGAGCAGATCCTTTGTCTCATTCCTCGGAGGCTGAGCTGGTGGTTGAAGGCACCCAGGGACGCAGACCCTCCAAAAAAGGCCTGAAATCACACAGGCTGCCCACGTTTTCGATCCTAAGCCTACGGCCTACGGTCTCCACATTGAGGTCTGCCAGCCGATTCAAGCCATGGCTATTGGCAAAGGATTGGAAGAACATCCACTTCTGAGATGTTCGACAATTCGAAAAGGACAGAGAAGCCCGAGCGTCATGTCGAAGAACTCGTGCATACGCAGCTCCATCCAGTCGTATTGCTCGGTCGTCCGTACATCCTTTGAAAGACGCAGCAAAACACCCTCGAAGCTGCGTCCTCGGCCCTCTTTGCAAACTCGCAAGCCCGAACTGCACCATGCTCATTTGCTACCTGGTCCCACGGTACTGGCAGAGTGAGCATGTTGCCAAGACTGGCGCATACAGGACGGGATACCCCATGGATGAGTGTGTAAGGTACCCCGACTCCCTATCCCTGTGAAGGACCCGCATGCTGAGAAGCGGACGTACGGATTGATTGCCGAGACGTTTTTCCTGGGTTTCATGCCGGCTCCGGACTTCAAGGGGTAATCAGGGTTTCGGCGTGTTTGAGGTCAGCTAGATTTCATGCGGCATGTTAGGGCAAGGTTGCTGCCACAGCCGGCAACTTCACGTTGCCGTCGCTCTAGCATGTTTGGACCCGAGTTGCCACTAGGATATCCGGACTGTGTCTGATTAGGACAGCATTCTCGAATCTGCGGGAGAGGAACCAGGTAGACTATCAAACGCACCCGTGTTTCAAGGGAGTACGAAAGGACAATGCACAGATGCCGGCGCCAGCCCCCATGAAACCACACCCGAAATGGCTGCCACCCCTCGCACATCGCCCCCAGCCCTGCTGGACAAGTCTCACGAAGTCTTCCATGGCCTGTCTTGGGCTTCTTGGGCTTCACTTACAGGAGACCCAGGCCACGACACAAGCCGTAAACCTTCCTAGAGCCCAAACTAGGCAAACGGAGCTGACAAGCCATGACTGACACAAGGCCCCCCGGGACAATTGATTGGCAACATGCTTGAAGCCCTCCTGCACCACCGACCTGCATTCCCCCTGAACCCTCCCAAGCATGGCCTGACGTAGGTCCACGGCCTTGCCCCAGAGCTTCGCCTCTGCAGGGGCTTCAACCCAGGGGCGTCTTTCCAACTTCGGTCCCTCACCAACTCAGCGGGTTACGAGTAGGAGCTTCGGGATTATAAAGCTCAGGGCTTCAGCTTCAGAAACTTCGGGCCTGAGCATTTGGGACCTCAAGTGGTGGGTTTCCACCCTCTCCCAGGCTCCTGTGCCGCATCGTGCGCGGCCGTGGCCAGCTCCTGTGCCTCTGACAGGGGGCTCTGGAAGTTTCGAGCGTCAACTCCCCTGCGGTTTTAGTTTTGCGGCTCTGGGGCTCTGTCGGGCTCGGGGCTGAAGGCTCCGGGCATGCTGGCTGCACCGAACCATGCCTCAAGCCCGTTTCCATCGGGTAGATGTTGGGCCTTTCGGTTTTCCCGCCTTCTCTGTTCGGCTTAAGGATCTTTGGGCATGTCGGGATTGCCGGTAGGGCACATCGAGGGAACTTGAACAGTTTAGAGAGCTCTTTCTGAACCCCATTCATGGGGGCTCTGAGCCTGAAAGAAAAGCTTTGAGCCAAATAGTGGGGCAGCATACTTAAACCCCTAAGCTTAGCGGCTTAGCATATGACAGACTGTTCCCAAATCACCCAGAACAAGGGATACCGCATGTTTAAGTGGGCTTCAATTGCTGTGAGATCCCACTTTCTGGAGAAAAATGACAGAGCGGGAAAGCAAATCTTCAGAATCTGAATGTATACTGATGCCATGACCCCCCCCCTAAACATCGACTCATGCTGCTCCAGCAGATTCCAATCCCTCCCTCAAACCCAGACCCAACACTTCAACTCAGCTGCAGAGCACGCACAACGCCTCAACTCTTAGTACATCAGAGGCGCCTTCGCAAGCTGGGCCTCATCCTGCAAGCTTCTAACTGGAGCACAGAAATTTCGGTTCCCGGGATCTAGCACACGAGGCTCGGCATTTTTAGGGCTTCTTGGGCTGTGAAAACTTCCGGCGTGGCTCTGAAAGGATTTGTGCCCTGTGAGCTTAAGGGGGTCACACTGAAGCGTTTCGATTCTACAACGGGATCTGTTAGGCCTGCGGGAGTTCATTGTGAACTTTTACATCCAGAACCCTGCGACCCAGGTACCAGCAGGCCGAAGGCGAAGGCCTCGCCTGGCTTCGTCAGCACCTCCCCGGCCCCAAATTGACGTGCCGCTCAAAAACTGTGCCCCTAAAAAGGACTCCAGGGCAGTTACACTCCAAAAAGGCCCATCTTCGCGCGACCCTCAATAAAGCTTCTGCGCTGCACGATGTGAATACATGTGAAGGCCGCACCCGATCCGCGCAGAAGAGTCAACCGTTCTGGCATCCGCTGGATGTTCAAAAGTCCATTTCGGCGCGACTGAGCAGCACATGCGCATGCAGCCAGCCCAGAGCCGCCCCCAGAGCCTGCGTCGCCGGGTCCGTCAGCCCGTCGCCCACAGCAATGGCCTCCAACTGAAAGGGGCCTTCAACGGATTCAACGGCGAAGGAGTCAGGAACCCGGGAGTCGGTGAAAGGACCCCTCAAGGGTGACGAGACAAGTTGGGCACCTACTTTTTTGGGAGCTCTGGGCGGTTTGGGGGTGTTTTATTGGATGTTGCGGGGCCCCACCTCTTGCCTTAACACCTTAACAACTGACAACCCCACTCCCAAGACCAAATCCTGCCAAGACATGCTCGACTGAATCCCAGCCAGCGGCATTTTGAGGTGAGCAGCATCTGCCCTAATGCTGGCACGAAGTGTCCGCCATAGGACCTCTGCCGCCATGCGGAGCCGAAAGGTTCGAGGCCCGTCAAACAGGAGCCTTGATTACAAAGGGGAAACACCCTGCAAAATTTCGACAACTTGGTCGCCGGGAGACCAGAAGCCCGTAAAGGAAACCTTGAAGGGAAGCCGGGAAGCCCCTGAGCGCGAAACCTTGAAAATGCACGACTTTGAACCTCCAAGTGGACCACTAACCACTAACGAAACCTTCACCAGAACCTTACCCGAGCACATATAAAGCACCCCATTTAAGGCATCCAGGTGTACAAGAAAACTTTGGGCTTCCATGTCTGGAGGAGGGGCCCGATGGCTTCGTAGAAACTTCGGAGAAGACTTCCAAGCAACTTTGAAGTTTATGAGGCTTGTAGCATTGTCTCTTTGCAGAGTTCTTTTATCAAAGGCTTCGGACTTAAGAGTTGAGGTGCTCACGACTCGGACTAACCTGGCAAGGCATCCGCATCTCACCCATCTCACGTGTTTGGGGCTTGAGGTGGTCTTTTGGAGCCTTTTGGTCGGCATCTCTCGAGGTTTGTGTGTGTGTGTACTGAATGTCGGGTAGAGCGAGTGAGCTGAAAGGTACCTTCCTTGGTTGCCGTTTGAGGGGCTCTCCCGCCAGCACCAGGCGACGGTGAACCACCGGCAGACCTGACAATCACGACGAACTGCGACAAGACAACGCCTTGAGGGCCCCCCCCCCCCCCCCCACCCCAAAAATCACATCCCGCTCATCCCGAAACACCAGCCCCTTTACCCCCTGACCTTCTACAAGCTCCACAAGGCTCGAAGGGGCCCATTAGCTGCCATAGGCTAAGAAGGTCACAGACTTTAGCATTTCTTGGTTGTCAAGCCTAGCAGCGCCCTGCCACCTGCTGGAGAAAAAAGACGAGGTCCTCAGCAACCTGCACCTGGGCGATAGGGGTTTAGCCGCTCACACTCGCACAAGGCCGACAAGGTTCGGAGGTCTCTGGCATCGATAGGGGTTTAGGGCTTCCTAAGCAGACTAGATAGACTAGGTTTACAAGTCTAGGGATTTACAAATTAAGGTTTCGAGTTTCTCGAAGGCTAGCGTCCGTAGACGCAAAATGCCCCGCGTGAGCCCAAGAGCGCAGGGGGTTGAGTCTTTGCTGGGGGTCGATCTTCTCGAGATTTCTAACTCTTGGGGATTTCGACTTGACGAATTCGCAAACCTGGAAGCAACAAAAGACCTACGAAGGTCCAAGCCCAAGGCTTCCAAAGACGAGGCGCCTGGCTCACGGCAAAGCTCCCCGGGTTGGCCCAGGACCAACCGGTGCCCAAGGGCGAGTCCACGAAGAGAACCTTTCACGTGGGCCCGCAGACCTACCCGAATCTGGTGGGTTGGGGGGCGGGGGGGGAATAGGGGAGAACTGCTAAATTGCAAGTCCTTTCGTGGTACCTCATCTAAGATCGACCCCCATGACATCATTTGAAATTCCTTTGCAGACAACATCCCTACGTTCCCGCACAGCTGCCGGCACGTACGAAGCCCAGGTCTCGTTGGCCGGGCGGCGCACCAGCGACCTCTCTGAGACTGCAGGCTTGTGATCCCGGTTAATCCAAGTCCCATCCGTGGTTTGGGCTGGGCAGGGGTCCTGCCAAGAGGCGAGGTAAATCAGAATACAGTTTCCAAATTGCAACTAAACTCAGGGTATCGGAGGCCAAAACAGGTCCAGACAACAACCAGGGGCATCAACAAAACAAACTACCGGAACAAGAGGCAAACCGGCATGCACCCTCGCCGTCAGCGGGACGAGTGGCGGCTTGGCCGTCAACGCGACTGGCCCCAGCTCAAAGAAATTGCCTCGGCGACGAGCAGCGGGCTCTGTGTTTCGGACTTGTCTCAAGTCTGGGCCTTGGGGTTGGCAAAGTTGTGGAAAATATTTAAACCTGTCGTTTCATGCAGGCTTGGTTTCCTATGTTCATCCACCTGTGCTACAGGAAGGCATCGCAAGCATTCATTTTTTCGGTCTCCGGCCACACTGACACTACTTTGGAAAGGAAGATCAAAGGCCTTTCACATGGCCATCATCTCCGGCCATCTTATAACCAAAGCACATCACACCTAAGCTCCAAACACTGTCTTGAAAAGAACCCAAGTTTGGGGGCTCGGGGTTGGGAAGCCCCGTCAACCCTCTTCAGAAAACGAGCCCCAAAATATGGGCTGCTCAAGGTGTAGTACGGCTTCGGCCACTCCATGCGCTACATACACTTCGTGCACTACACAAAACATACGGATTCGAATGTGATTTCAAGCTGGGTGTCAAGCTCTGGACACTTGACATCTACAGGAAGGGATCGTTGAAGGCAGACAGGACCAGAGCGTGCCCCATATATTTCTATGTGCAAAAGCTGAAAACCACAGGCCCAGATGCCGATCATCGACGGGGAGCCGGGGCCTGCCCGGGCATACTTACTGGACAACAGATTTGCAAAACAAAACGACTGGCAGAGCTCCGACGGGGCTTGCTTTCGTGATCAGCATCATTATCACCACCACCGCCGCCTTCAGCATCATCAGCATCATCAGCATCATCAGCATCATCATCATCATCATCATCATCATCATCATCATCATCATCATCGCCTTCATCAGCATCATCGTCGGCACCGTCATCGTCACCACAATCAAAGGCTCCCGGCATTCGTCGACGTTCTGTATAACGGCCAAACATGCGAGAAGCCCGTCGCCCAACTCCCGGTAAAGAACAAAGCCCCAAGCCTAGCGCAGAACCCTCTGTGGATCCTAGTCCGTCAGAGTCCCCTGGGCATCGGTCCTCCTTGCAGCCACATCACTAGGGGTGCCGAGGGGTCCACAGTCTCCGGCTGAAAGTACCAATAGAAGAGTGCGCCTGGTGACCACGCGAAAATCAGGAAGGGGGTGAGGTGGTTGTCGCGCACAGGCTGCGGAGGACTGAGACACACTATGAAATTGCTATTCAATCGACGGACCTCGATCATGACGATCATTAGCTGGCGCAAGCCAACTCAGTTCTGCGACGGCTGGCTTTGCTAAACCTTGAACACGAAAACACAGCAACCCTAAACCCCTCTCTCCCTAAAACACATACACAAGTGTCGCATCACTTGAAGAACAACAACCCTAACTAAACCCTGAACAACCCCAGACAAAACCAAAATCCCTTGCAAATCCTGTTGGTCTCCCTTTCGACTGAACCTGAAACCCTAAAAAAGACCAGGTGGTGAACCCTAAACGGGCGAATCAGCCATAAACCCAGCCCCCCTTTTGAATCCCGGCGTCGCCAGAAACCCTCAGCCTTGAACTTCAAACAGACGACAAACCTGAGAGAAAAAAAAACGCAAAATGCGAGGCGAGAGTGTGTGCCTGGCGGAAACCTCGCAGTATGGGCAACAATACACCCTCACCCTCCCTTTCTACCGGAGAAAATACATCAAAAGAGAAGCAGCCCCAGGGATGGCCTCTTCCCGGGAGATCAACGAACCCGCTGTAGCTGGTCAAACCGCAGAGGCCTGGAAGCATGCGTTTGTGGGTTCCGTGTAGGTTCAACTTCACAGGGCCGAACAACACAGCAATGCATGCAAACAGCACAGTACTGTCGTAGAATTTGCCGCGCGCTGATATGCCGGTACGCCAGTACGCTGCCGAATGCCGGAAAGTCGCCGAAACGCCGATTCGATGCTTGCAGGAAGTAAAAGAATCGAACTGTTACACGAATACGCCACGACCGGTGCACCAGTGTATAGGCAAATCGGCGTGGGTCTTTATTTAGGACGATGTTTGCAGCCACCCTGCAACTGCACCTTACCGCACCTTGCTTCACTTCAGCCCCTCAGCTCTCACACGCAGCGCACGCGCAGGCAAAGCTCCAGTGGGCCCCTTCAGCCATCAAGGTCTTTGGTCTTAGACATCAGAAGTCAATTTGCGTTGACTGAATTCAGCTAGAAGTGCTCGAGTCGTAGCCGCACAGGTCCACTCGGTCGCCTCAGTTTCCGGTTGCAGTCCGGGCCACTGGTCTTCACCGAACTCCGAAAGAGACGAACCTCGAACCTGAAAACCCGGCCACGGCATCTGCGTCTTTCAGGTTTGGGAAGGTACACCGTAGACCAAGTTGCTCTGCTGGCTCCCGTGCACAGGGAGCAGAAGCCTCAACCAGTGATGCTCGAACGGCGCCCCCGAAGCTGTGTGAGAATTCCGCTGAGTTGAGCTTAGGACCACCCAAACTCCTAGCGGCGCATGTGCTTCCCCACTTCCATCGCAACTATGACACTTAGAATGCCGCATTCGGTGGGGCAACTGTTTGCGGCGAAAAATTGCACAGACTGACCGCGTTTCCCTGCTGGGACAAGTGCTTCAGTGCCCCATTCATGTGTGATGTGCTGAAGGGAATTTTGAGCTTGCTCTGGTGATGCACGCTCTGGGAGTTTCAGCGTGTAGGTGAAGATTTTCAGCGTCAGCACACCTCAAGCTCTCTACTTTTTGGGGCTTCGGGGGGCAGAGCGGCTGTGGCTCACTTTTCTGGAGCCAGGCCAAAGAAGAGTGGCTGAGGCTTCGGCGCCAGAAGAAAGCAGGCGATGCTGTCCATCGCGCTGGCCCACTTCCGAAAGAGCGAAAGAAGCCCTTTTAAACTTTCTGGTGCTCAGGCCGCCCTTCTGACCCTTTTTCTGCTCTCGAACGCTTGAAACCACAAGCTCCTGGCTTCGGCTTGATGCAACTCCTGGTAAGTCGAGCCGAGAACAGCGGCATCGATCATCATGCATCTGAATAAGAAGCGGTCAGGCGTGATTTCAAATTGAATCCTTGGGTCATGAAACTTTTCCAATTCGAGCCTAGCTGTCATGAAACTTCTGCACCCACGAAGGCTCAGCAACACCTGCCCTGCCGGGAGCTGTCAACTCGGATTTAGGGCCCGAGATCCATCTGCAGGGAGGCTCGGTGGAGGTCGGAGAGAGCGCGGAGATCGCCCTCGTCATTTACACCTTCACCAGTCGCCCACAGCACCCACTTGCTCAGCAGATCCCCTGCCCCCCTCCCCACGCCGCCCACGCCAGTCAGCGCGCCCCCCTTCCTCACCCGCCCACACCGCGCACACCGCGCACACCGCGCGCACCGCGCGCACCGCCCACACCTGGGTTGACACGAAAGGGCCACCGAAGCAAGGTCGGGGCGGCCCCGATTTGCACACACCCTAGCTGGACGCCCTCCCCACACCGCTGTTGTTCAACCTTCAGGTAAGCGGCTCGGCCAGCTCCCACCGGCTTTCGTGATGTTGTGCACTTTGTCTACCTGCCTCTCCCAGGTGTACTGCACACCCTTTTTGTACCTGAGCCGACGTCCGTACACGAAGCCGCAGCTTAAGCGAAAGAAAGTGCCTTTCCAACCTGTTTCTTGTCCTTCTTCTTTTTCGCCTGGGTTCCGGCCGCCCCCCCATAAAAGGTCCTGGATTGCGAAGTGTCGAGGAATCGAACTGGACCTCTTTCGTTATGCTTCTTTGGGTTTGTCTCCATGGTGACTGCAAGAATCAATGGCTGCTGCGTCTGACACCTACATGATGCATTGAGGCCATGTCTCTGCGCAGGCCTTGACAAGGGTGAGCATTTGCCAGCTGAGTCGTCGATATGCGAAAAGTCCAGCATGCCACATGACATCTGAGATTCGTGAGATTTACTTCGGGTCAAGTTCAAGAAACCGCTGCCAACGAGCTGTAGTGATCAGCCAGTTCCAGCCAGTTGCATACGCAGCATGTTTGCACCTCCACATCTACATATTACTTGTATCTCGCTGGACACCAAGATTCAAAGCATTGCCTGTTATTTCTTCGCTGCGGCAGGCTGGGTCTCAGTCGCGCCATCCAGACGCATGAGATTAAAACATCGAGAGAGACACCCTACAAAGGGACAATGGACATTCTCAGACACATCGTGCTGCCTCTCTCCGCAAGGCAAAATTTTAAAGCGATCAGGAGCCTTAAAAGTCGAAACCCTCATGAACTATGAAGGTTTCTCGGAAAATGACCTTCTCAACGACCAATCACCACAAGTGGTAAAGGGCGGCAACATACTCTTGCAACTCGTGGCGATTGAGATCAGGATATGTGGAGAGCCGAGCGCCGCTCAAGCAGCTGAATCGTCGTCGACGCACCGACGAGGTAGATGCAATGGCTGCCCCGGCCCAGCCGGACTCAACCTCTTCATGGTCAATGCGAATGGTTTTGAGTATGGGGTGCTCAAATGCTGCAGGCTGGCCAGGCACAGCATCCTCGCTCAGCATAGGCACAAACCACGAAAGCGTCCACCACGCGTAGTTGTGGAAGCGATACCCCGGGATGCAATCGCCACCATTGGAAATCCTGTTAATCCAACTGACTCTGGGCGTACCAAAAGTGTACAAGGCATTCACAGTCAGTCCACTCAAGGGGTTCTGGCCGTTAATCTCATACGGGGCGCCGTTGTCTTGATTGTTTGCACACTGCGTAAAGATGCTGGCAAGGGCTCCCCCGAGGCTATGCCCAGTTGCAACAAGGCAGCAGCAGCTATTGATGGAGCCCATCAGACTCTCCCATTCCTCACTCTGCAAGTACCGTTCCAGCTCGCGGCTGAACCCCAGGTGCACGTAGGCCCCGCAACGGTGCCGTGGTACCATGTTTACATTGGTGAAGAACTCCGACACGTGTACGGCCGTGGTGCCAGCAAATGACAGGATGCATGCGCCATCCTCATGACGTCGATAAAGAACCATGCCATCACCGTCCACGAATATGTTGCCCTCTTGATAGCGAAGGACGTGCTTGTCAACGAGGTGCCAGTCTCCCGAGCTGTCAGAGATGGTGTCTGGCGCCTCATTATTTGGATAAGCGGCCTGCGCCACTTTGGAGGCTGGTTTGAAGACACTGGTGCTCTCCATGTAACTATTGCATGGGCAGCCACCGGTACTAAGCATACTGGCAGTACGTGGCACATTGCAAGCCTTAGCTCAGCCAAAGTCTTTGACAAGGTGCATTTCAAATTCCAGCTTCTGAAAAGCATTCCTTTCCAAAGACATCACTTCACGACTTGCACGCTCGGTGCAGCAGGCAAAGACTGCGCATACTCGGTATGGTATGGTGGCCAAGAGGCGGTGTGAGTGCTGCTGGTGCATGTGCTGGTGATGCCTTCGCTGCAGCACTTGGATGCTCCGCCGGGTCGGCCTTCGCAACCTGAGCCGCCACAGCTGCCGCAGCTGGAGGCGCAGCAGGTTTGGCCTGAGCAACAAGTCATACCCTGTTCCCCCTCTGGCTAAGGGAAATTGAAGAGCGGCTCATCAACGGGCAAGCAAGATAAATTGGCCCTGGAACCCTCCCTTGCTCTCTTCGATCCGTGTGCGGTATGGACGGTTTGGACCCAGCTCTAAAACCAATTGGATGCGAACCACCTCGACATCGTGGCAAAGGAAAGGGCCGCAACACAGCAAAGCCGAGCCACCGGAGCGGATCCCGTCCACGCAAAAGTCATCCCCAGAAGCGGCCAGGGACATCGAGGCATTCAGGGGAAAAACTTCAGGCTCAGTGACTGGGGAAGCCTGGCACTCTGTCGGAGTCTCTGACTCCCGAAAGTGTGTTTCCATCATGTCCAAGTTGGACACTTGGGGTTGCTGAACGGCCTGTACAAAGCCATCGCCCGGGAAGAGCTCAGGGCCTCCCTTGTGTGGCAAGCCATCCAGCGGGCCCTCAGTGTAGCCAGCGATGAAGAGTTTCTTCTTACGCGCCACCTGAGCAAGGTCAGCCGAACAACGAGTTTAAAGCGTCGGAATGCTGTTGTTCTAAACAGAGGCAAAGGCAGATTGACGGATGGCCTCTTCGTGTTCCCAGCAGATAAATTCACTTACTTCAACCTCACAAATAGCTGCCTGACTGATGCTGAGTCCCGAAACATCCAGCATAGGGCCATACTGTAGGGGGTTGGTATCAGGCTAGTTCCTGTCAAGCCACGATATCCCAAAGCTCGACGTCCTCTGAGCTGCGTGGCACCAACTGGCTCCACAACTGGGCGCCCATCTCATCGAACTTGACGACGAAGCCGTCTGTGCTTGCATTGACGTCACCTGTCCAACCGCCAGCATACACATGGTCCTCATCTACAATGACACGCCGCACAGTTGTAGTTTCATTCATCTTTATCGTCCTCTTCCACAGCTCCTCCCCGTTTGCTTTCATGCTGACAATGAAGCCCTGCATGCTGTTCTCGACCAAGGGGTCATCAAAGTTGCCCTCTGTCACTCCGCCTATGTAGATGGAGCTGCAATCTGAAGAAACCGCTATGCTTGTGCCCGAATCCGCCTGGGATGTTCCAATCATCTTGGTCCACACCATGCTGCCGGTAGCATCATACTTTGTCACAAAAGCGTCAATGGAGCCAATGCTCTCCTGCCCTGACAAGTTCCCGGAGGTTTGTCCAGCGACATAGACGCTTCCATCTTCACATGCAGCTGCACCCCATGCAGCATCATTTTGCGGAGTGCCGAACTGCTGAAGCCATGTGAGCTCCCCGGATTCTTTGCTCAGCTTGCCAATGAAAGCGTCATGAGCTCCCACGGCTCCTTTTCCCAAGGTACCGCGAGTCACACCGGAAATGTAGAGATGCCTTCCTGCCGCAGACACTGAGGTCACCGCATCAGTGCTGTTCGAGGACAGGCGATGACTCCACATCAGAGACCCTCGGGTGCTCATCTTGGCGTAGTACCCATCGAAGGTTGAGGTGACAGGAAACTCGCCGACAGCCTCGGAGCCGAAGGTGCTCGCGTTGAATGCCCCGACCACCTTAGCACACATTGAAGAGTCACACTGGCGCATTCAGTGTCCTGTCCGTTGAAAAACCTTCATGCCATGCTCGAGACAACCACAACCAACGAAGTCTTACGTGTGCTCCCGCAACTGGAAGAAACTTCAAGCTCAAGTGATGTATGTTTGCAAAATCTTGTAAACACAGCTTAAGGCACGTAGACATCTCCACAAGGCTCTGCAGTGACATCCAAGGCAAGGTCGAAGAGCTCGCTGTGCACTGGCTTGCGAACCCACTTCATCTTCCCGGCCACTGACATCTTGCCCACATAGCTGTCTGACTTGCCCAAGTTTGCACCTGGAAACACAGCCTCACGCCCGCTCCGTCCGGAACGCTTCCGCTGCCTGCGAGACTCGGGTGCGACGTCAGATTGGCCTTCGGACCGTCCCGCGATGTAGAGATGGCCTCCTCCAAAAGCCATGGCACGCACGTCATCCAGCCCCGTCGTGCTCAAAAGCCTTGTCCAAGTCAAGCCTCGAGTTTCACCGGCTTCACCTGGAGTAAGCTGCAGCAGGGTCAAAGGAGCAGGTTCTTCCGCACATTCGGCCACGGTGCAGCTGGCGTTTCTTTCCGTTTTGCTGCACTCACTGGCACTCGCACTCACACTCCCAAGGACGATGAGAAGCCAAAGCATCACAAAACTCCTACAGCTTCACTTACAAGCAGGGATATCTGGAGCCTGAATGATGCTTCATGACGAAACATGCTTGCCCGCAGAACACAACAATGTAGAAGCGCGCGAACATCAGCAAATGACCTAACCAGCTCCTCTCTGCATTTGCTGCTGCATCTGCAAGATCTGCTGCAGGCCGGGGCGCCGACACCGAACACTTTTCAACTTCCAAGGTCTACAGGATGCACAGCTCGGTCTAGGTTCAATGGCAAGCTTCTCATAAGCTTTCTGGGTGGAGTACTCATGGTCACTTGCTTCTGCAAGACCCATCAAGTGCTCTGCAGCAACCGAATTCGCAGTTCCGAGCAGCAGACAAAACCATTCTTGGTGAACAGGAAGTTCAAGACACATCGAGCAAGTAAATCGAGCGGCCCTCCCCGACACAACAAGCGTCTTGAAATGACTTTGTCTGCTCCTCGCCTCTATACTGTAAGGGTCTTTGACGGGCACAGCATCACACTGTGTCTGACTTCGCGGGTGGTTCTTGCTCACCCTTGCTCCTTGCCTCAACATAGAAGGCCCTCGAGCTGCAGCAGCAAGAGCAACATAAACACGTGAGACTTGCCACAAGCAGCAGCAAAGGGAGGATGTCGCAATAGCCTGGCTCTACGGCCCGCATGGCCCACAACACCCAACACACGGTGATGACGGCTTGAGGCAGAACGTATTCAAAAAGAAACTCAAGGCGGTCCTGGCAGCCAGCCCACTTTCCTGCTTCTTGGGGTTCTGGCAGGCACATGGTGACCAAGGCATCGATGATCTGCAGAAGAGAGACGATGCTTAAGAGGACGCACTCTACAGAGATGGACAAACAAGTGACGTGATTGGGCGAGCATGGCTCGTAGGCTCCCCCCATGTAGGAAACCGCGGCATCGGTCCAGTCAACATTCTTGAACATGAAGGCTGTGGCTTGCAGCACTTCGGAAGTTACAAACCAGCCCGTGACCCACTTGGGGCGCTTGCTGCTGCCTTTTTGGCCTTTGCAGCTTTTCCACAGAAGCATGGCAATGGAGAGGATACATTTGGCCACTCCCACATACGTAAAGAAGTTGTCCACTTCTTCCAGCTCGGAGCTAATGTGTTGAATCCTGGCATCCTCGCTGGTGGGAATGTTGGTGTAGCAACGGCCTTCCTCGCAGCTATCATCCCAAGTCTGACAGACCTTTGGGGTGCCATCGACCACCACAAACTGGCCCTCGCCGTCCGTCTCGATGCAGTAGTCATCTGGATCTGGACAGCTGGTGTAGCAACGGCACTGTGTTCCGCTCGTCGGCAGCGGCCAGGAGCTCAGCAACACGATCCACGCAGCAAAGGATTGCTTCATGGTGGCGTTGACCTTGAGATGCCAGGCGAGAAGTAGAGTGCGAGCCTGCGAGCCAAAAACAGCTGCCGAGACCTTGTCCGAGCTCTCCACATGCCTCTCAAGCTCCGCGGAGGTTCTTTTGTTGAAGCCCCCCCCGACTAAAACAGCACAAGGCCAACAGCCCCAGCACCAAACACCTAGGAAGTAAATCCTCACCAGAAGCAGCCTCGAAGGAGGGTGAAGCTTGGCTTACAACAAGGCCCCGCATGTCTCAAGGACAAAACACGTAGATGTTTGAAGTTTCAACACGCGCACGAGCACTGTGTTGGGGACCTTCAAGGGCCGGGCCTGGAAGCCCCGAGGCCATTTTAGACCATTCCTGGTGCCGGCCTGACGACTACATCGCTGCCCCAAGGCGGTCAGCCCAGACGGTCTCAAATGTGAGTGAAGATCCTTCAGCGTCAGCACACCTGAAGCTCTCTACTTTTGGGGGCAGAGCGGCTGTGGCCATCGTGCTGGCCCCTTCTTCAAGGCTCTGGCCTTGTAGCCCTTCTCGGGTGTCATACTGGTCTTAACACGATCTGGAACATTTTATAATGGAGCGTTTCAATGCTCAAAGTGGCTCCTGACTCTGAGCGCCGATGACAAAGGTTGGGAATGCGAATGCGTGGCAACAAATGCTGGAGCATGTCGCGGTTGCGCCGCAACTGGGCACCCTACACAACATGCAACGAGAAGTGATGCGAAGAGATGAGACGCGGAGCACTCCCTTTTCTGGCATGGCCTTCACGAAAGCTCATCGCAACTCCGGTCCGACGTCTGCTTAGAGCCCTCAGAAACGAAGCGTCACAAGTGCCTTCAGCGCGTCCCGGGCCAACGCGGCACGGTTCTCGAAGGCTCTCGAAGGTTCTGGACGGTTCTGCTGTTGTCGCAGGAGCCTCAAGACAACAGCTCTCCTGCATCACTCTACCCAGTCGATTTAAACCCTTGAGCCCGTCATGAAATCCCCAAACTCTTTATCTGCTCGGACTTTCAACCACTTTGACATGTCCACGCAGCGAAACTGTAGCTTTATAACGCGCTTTTCGAACTTGTGCCACCCGTCTCACCTCTTCTCGCTGCGCCTCGTTCAGGGGGTGTCGTGCATTGGACTTCCTATTCAGGACGCGGATTGAAGCTTTACAGGGCTCAGGCAAGACATGGCAATCCAGGCAATTGTGAACCCATCGGCTTTTTGTCAGCCTCCTTGCTTTTTGAAACAGGTGCCGGATCTCAGCACAGTTGCAGGAATTGCACGCCTTCAAAACTTGGCCAGAAGATGTCTGCGTGGAGTACGCACGGTTACTTGCTTCTGCAAGACCCATCAAGTGCTGCAGAAGCAACCGAATTCGCGGTTCTGAGCAGCTGACAGAGTCATTCTTGGTGAACAGGAAGTTCAAGACACATCGCGCAAGTAAATCGAGCGGCCCTCCCCGATACAACAAGCGTCTTGAAATGACTTTGTCTGCTCCTCGCCTCTATACTGTAAGGGTCTTTGACGGGCACAGCATCACACTGTGTCTGACTTCGCGGGTGGTTCTTGCTCACCCTTGCTCCTTGCCTCAACATAGAAGGCCCTCGAGCTGCAGCAGCAAGAGCAACATAAACACGTGAGACTTGCCACAAGCAGCAGCAAAGGGAGGATGTCGCAATAGCCTGGCTCTACGGCCCTCATGGCCCACAACACCCAACACACGGTGATGACGGCTTGAGGCAGAACGTATTCAAAAAGAAACTCAAGGCGGTCCTGGCAGCCAGCCCACTTTCCTGCTTCTTGGGGTTCTGGCAGGCACATGGTGACCAAGGCATCGATGATCTGCAGAAGAGAGACGATGCTTAAGAGGACGCACTCTACAGAGATGGACAAACAAGTGACGTGATTGGGCGAGCATGGCTCGTAGGCTCCCCCCATGTAGGAAACCGCGGCATCGGTCCAGTCAACATTCTTGAACATGAAGGCTGTGGCTTGCAGCACTTCGGAAGTTACAAACCAGCCCGTGACCCACCTGGGGCGCCTGCTGCTGCCTTTTTGGCCTTTGCAGCTTTTCCACAGAAGCATGGCAATGGAGAGGATACATTTGGCCACTCCCACATACGTAAAGAAGTTGTCCACTTCTTCCAGCTCGGAGCTAATGTGTTGAATCCTGGCATCCTCGCTGGTGGGAATGTTGGTGTAGCAACGGCCTTCCTCGCAGCTATCATCCCAAGTCTGACAGACCTTTGGGGTGCCATCGACCACCACAAACTGGCCCTCGCCGTCCGTCTCGATGCAGTAGTCATCTGGATCTGGACAGCTGGTGTAGCAACGGCACTGTGTTCCGCTCGTCGGCAGCGGCCAGGAGCTCAGCAACACGATCCACGCAGCAAAGGATTGCTTCATGGTGGCGTTGACCTTGAGATGCCAGGCGAGAAGTAGAGTGCGAGCCTGCGAGCCAAAACGGCTGCCGAGACATGCGCTGCACGTGCTTCTCAAGCCACACTATTCCTCCGACTGATACAGCCACAGGCCAACAGGCCTCGCCCTCCTCAGCACCAAACAACTAGGAAGTAAATCCTCAGCTCAGGGGCCCAACCATCTGGTTGGGCCCCTCCGCTCCTTGTCCAGTCACCGCCGCCGGCGCCACTCACTGCCATCCGGAAAGCGAAGGCCTGCCACCCCAAATCCAACTTCTCTCAATTCTCTCAATCCCTTGCAACACACACTCCTTAACATCCCTTGCACGCTCACATGCCAATCTCACCTAGGCCTGGCACCCAGACCGCGATCACGTCGGAAGGTCCTCCTGGCCATAACTTTCAAGTCTCCCAAAAAAATTGGCACAAAGAGTGTCTGGCCTGCAGAGGGCTTCACCCCAGTACAAAGCCTTCAGAGTTGCTGCTTCACAGGGTCTCCCGCATCATGTTAAGCCTAAACCTCAGCCCCCGGGCCCCCAACCTCAAACCACATTTTCCCGACTCTTGAAGCGCGGACATAGCTTTGGGGTCTTGGGTTTGGCACCTGGCTTGTTTTCGCGAGACCATATTCAAGCCTTCTTTTCGCGTCCATACACAAGTTCCAAGCCCCTTGTGAAATATGCCTGAAGCTCGAGTACTGTGCCAACTACTGGCAAATGCACCCGAACCCAGTTCTCAAGTCGAGCGTCCTCTCGCCGAGAAGTCCAGAAGCAGCCTCGAAGAAGGGTAAAGCTTGGCGCTTCGGGGTGTAGGGCTTACAACAAGACCCCCGTGTCTCAAGGATACAACACCGTAGATGTTTGGAGTTTCAACGACTACTCTCTGTGCAACTCGGACACTGCTTTGGGGACCATACAGGGTCGGAGGTATGTCGGGCTGGCAGGCCCCCAAGTGCTTTCGGAGTCCAAACTTAAGATATCCAGCTCGTCTCAGGTAAAGCTTCGTAAAGCCATGCCATGCACAGCAAAGTCCCATAAAGAACCTGCGCATCTGGACTTAAGCGAAGCTGGCAACATCAGTCCCCATGCAGCCTCGTGACTCATTTGGCTGCAAAGTGTCCGGCATGCCTGAATGAAGCACTGTACGGGGTCAAAGACTCAGCACATCTCAACACTGCTCCCTGAAACCAGGATCCCCTCTCACTTGGACCTTGCTTGAGGGCTGCGTAAACAATGTCCGGTATACACTTGTGCTCGCTCCTTGTTGGGCCCCCATCGTGCTCATGTGCATCCAGGTCGCCCCGGCCTCTGCGCCCTGTCGCCTTGGAAAACTTTCATGCGGAGTCCAAAACTTTAGCAGGCCGCTTGTTGGTGTCACAGGTCGAAGCCAAGAGCGGCCTGGTGGCCTGCCAAGCTTTTCCAGCACAGTCAGCAGCAGGTCCGTCCACACCCCTCGCAAGGTCAGGGGAGAGGCGCTCTGCGTCACGGTTATTCAGGATTCGCCTGCGACATGTTCCAAATTCACGTCAAGCCTTTGGGGCAAGCATGCTGCAAGGCCCTGAACAAGTCAAGTAGAGCCTGGCACTGGCCTCGTGCCTTACGCAGTTCTCTGACTCCAGACTCTAGGCCCTTCCGCAAACCTTTTTGCTCCGAAATGCCTGCACACAAGTGAACACATACACTCTTTTACCATCGCAGCGAAAGGTAAACGGCCAAAGCCAGGAATACCTGGCACCTAAGCTTAGGAACCCACCCTTGTGCAGCCGGACACGGTTCGCAACCGGCCTGACGATTACATCTCTGCCCTGGGGCACAATCTCCCGGGGGCAGCCTCCCAGCAAATCTAAGGAGCTTGGAAGAGGCCGTGGAGGGCTGGGCAAGGGCCCTCCAATACGGCACAAAGCCTGGGGGGGTGTCTTATGGTTTCCGCGAGGGCCAGCATCTTCAGATCAAAGGGGCCTGGGAACGCCGGATCGTCGTAGGTGCCGGCAAAGCGCGGAGACCCGGGAAGTGCGCGCCTGGGTTATTTGAGGGGGTTGAGCAGTTGAGCACTTCGGGTTTAGGGGGGCCTGGGTCAGGCCACGAATGCCAACAGAGCCAAAGGGTGCGATGCCTGACCGAGCCACACCGAGCTCGGGCTCGACGCAAGGGCCCCTGCAGAGCCGAAAACCGCCGCTCGCCGGGGCAGCGCCCTGCTCCCTGCATCGGCAAACATTCTGCACCGACGGCTTAGCAGATTCTGCGATTCTGCTGGCAACAGGTGCTATTTCTTCGAGGTTTGGTTCGGTCTTGGCGGCAGCAAGGGCAGCGAGAACATGGACTGGAGCCCTTAAAACACTCCATTACGAACAGCAAAGCAGCGGGGGGGGGGGGGGGGTCGTCGTTACCAACGCGTCAGGGCCCAGTGAGGGCAGGAGGTGGGGGGGCAAGGGGGGAAGGGACGTGGGGGCAGCGAAGGTCGGGAGGGGGGGGCAAGGGGCTAGTCTGGCAGGCACAAGGAGGGCAGGGTCGGGCAGCGAAGGTAAGAGGCGGGGGCAAGGGGCTAACAGCAGCGGCAGCGGGGCAAGTAAAACACTCCATTCCTAACGCGTCAGGGCGCAGTGAGGGTAGGAGGTGGGGGCAAGGGGGGAAGGGACGCGGGGGCAGCGAAGGTCGGGAGGGGGGGCAAGGGGCTAACAGCAGCGGCAGCGGGGCAAGGGGGGGTCGGGCAGGCACGAAGAGGGGGGGGTCGGGCATGCACTGGTATCATTCCAAGGTACCAGGTATGGCGGGAGGCCGCGATGAGGTTACTAACCCGTCAGAGCACAGCGAGGGTAAGAGGAACGCGTCAAGGGGCAGCGAGGGCAAGAGGTGGTGGCAAGGGCGAGGGAGCAGACAACGATGGGTCTTCACTGACGCCGCCCCCGCTCCGGCTGGGGTCGGCGGATATGTATATGTATATATATATATATATATATATATGCACGCATATATGTATATGCATAAACATATAGTGAAGGTGTACATTTATTATATAGTACGGATTATCTCGATGCTGTACTATAGGGAGAGGGGGAGGGGGAGAAGGAAGGGGGAGGGGAGGGGGGGGGGACCTGCATCCTGGATGTAAGCAGGCCCCAGCGCGTACCGCAGCGTGACGAGCGCCAGGCCCAGGCGAAGCAAGCGGTAGGCCATGGCAGCACCAGAAGGTAGAAGGGCTTAGGATTGCGACTTCAGGTCTTTGTGGATGCTTCGCATCTAAAGCAAGTCGGGGCTGGTCCTAGGGCTTGCACTCCGCTAACCACAAACTGTTTAAGTTAAGTTGAGGGGGTCCTGTAGTGAATCGGCTTTCCACAAAAAATCCACAAAGCCAGAACTCTGCCATAACTTACCCACGGTTCCCAAGCCTTAGACTTGGCGAAGAGCAAGGGCTTGAAAGGGTGCCATCCTCCAGTCTCGGACTTGGGACGCAAGGGCCGAAAACGGGATTTGGGCCATGTTGGCCTCAGGGCTTCAAGTCTTATCCGGCCAAAGAGTGGCAACTGCAATCCTGGACGACAGAGTTGCCAGAACTCCGCTGAGCTTTTCGGGACACCAGAAGAGGTCACGCGAGCTCACTTCGTCTTCTTGTCAGCTTCAGGGCGGTCCGTCGGTACATCCTGGGTTGAGCTGTCAGGGCATCCAGGGAACTCAAAATCACACAGTTGTAGAGGCTGTGCTCCAAAAAAGGTGTTGTTTTGCCACGGCCCTAACCCACAGCCATCCCACGGCGATCCTACAGCAATCCCTTGCATGGCAGAACAACAAGAACGGCCTTGCGATCAGATGGTCCAGCGTGCCGGATCTTAGGTCCGAGACTGATTCGGGGAATTTCTGTGCGCGGAGCCAAGCGGCGGCGACAGGCTGCAAGCAGTCGTACCTGAGGAGCTAAAGCTTCTGCCATTTTCAAGCCTCCTGATATCTCCTGATGCCCTTGTAATCCGTGCAATTGGAGGCCTTCAGATTCTCTCTCAGATCACAGAGCCAAAAGCAGCCCAAGCTGCCTCCAGAAACATCCTTGATTTTTATAAGCCCTGAGCCTCAAAAACCTAACCACCCCCAATCCCCATAGACATCATTCCAAGTGAGCGAACCCTAAACGCTAAACACAAACAGAGACAGAGCCAGGATGCCACGTGGGCATGGGCCAGCGGAGGGCGCTGTAGAGGACCGGTGCGAAGCTCTGGCAGTTTTAGGGAGAGAGACAGCGGGTGTCAGGTTGCAGGTTTAGGGCTTGGGGGAGGGGTTCCGAAGCGTTGTTGCAAGTTAGGACGACATGTTGGCTTGTGGCCTTTGGGTTGAGGAGCTTCGCAGGGTCTCTGACACTCCCAACTCGGTCTCAAGATGTTGCAAACCCTGGCTTCTGACCTTGAGCTTGAGGACCCAGCGCCGGGCCGGGCCACAGAACAACAATGGTCCCCTCAAGCTTTCTTTGGGCCTAGCACCCCGAAGCCCCAACATCCCAAACCCATCCTCAGATACTCCTGCGGTTCTCGAGCCCTGAAACCCTCAACACCTCAACCCCCCCCTCCTTGAAGCCTCCCTAAACCCTAAACCAGGCCAAGGGTCGCAAAGAAGCTCCGTGAGGGTCCAAGCCACACCCAGAAAAGTGCAGCTCCTCGGTGGACCCCTTGAACCCGTGTTTTACTTTGGGAAACCCAGAAATGCTCCCGGGAAGAACAAGCACTTCGGGGGCTATGGTCCTGGGTACGGTTGAAGGTGTAGGGTCTCTCTCTTTCTCTCTTGCTTCCTTTCTCTCTTCCTTCCTTTCTCTTTCCTTAGTTCCTTCCTTCCGTCCTGCCGTCCTTCCTTTCCCTCTCTCTCTGTCTCTCTCTCTCTCTCTCTCTCTCTCTCTCTTTCCCCCCCTCTCTCTCGCTCGTGCTCGCGCGCTCTCTCTCTCTCTCTCTATTCTCATTATTTTGTATTTTTTATTCTTCTTCTTTCTTTATTATTTCGTATTCTTATTCTTATTATTCTTATTATTCTTATTATTCTTATTATTCATATTATTCTTGTTATTCTTATTATTCTTGTTATTCTTATTATTCTTATTATTCTTATTGTTCTTATTATTCTTATTATTCTTATTATTCTGATTATTCTTATTATTCTTATTATTCTTATTCTGCGCTGTTTTATTCTTATTACTAATATTATTATTCCTCTTCTTATTCCTCTTCCTCTTATTCTTCTTATTATTATTCTTCTTATTCTTATTCTTATTCTTCTTCTCATCCTTATTCTTATTTTCCTTCTTATTATTCTTATGATTCCTCTTCCTCTTCCTCTTCCCCTTCCTCTTCCTCTTCCTCTTCCTCTTCCTCTTCCTCTTCCTCTTCCTCTCCTCTTCCTCTTCCTCTTCCTCTTCCTCTTCCTCGTCCTCGTCCTCGTCCTCGTCCTCGTCCTCGTCCTCGTCCTCGTCCTCGTCCTCGTCCTCTTCTTCTTCCCCTTCTTCTTATTATTATTCTTATTCTATGTTTCCTTCTTCTACTTCTACCCTGTTGCCTTCGTAGAACAGACGGCAGAACAATTATGGCCCATGCATCTGCTTTGCAGCTGCGGTGTGTTAGGGGCCTGTGTGACATCACGGTGCACCTTAACTCACATACTGCCGATATCTGCCGATGTCAGTCGCGTCCATACTTTTAAGCTTTGCAAACCAACCTCTACAACAAGCCAACGCCCGGGTGACAATCCCGAAAGTGCAGCTCCCAATTGTTCCATCATACCACACGCAAGAAACCCGAAATTGGGGCTTCGGGCTCTTTTTGGATGTAGGTCTTGCTGGTTGGGGTTTCGGGCTACAATCTGGGGCTCGGCACACTACACCATGAACCTGGCAGCTATGGCTCTGGAGCAGGAAGTAGGCCAGCGACATGGGATCCCAGGCTCCTTAGCTTTCTGGAAGCCCTTCAACTCTCTTGAAGCTGATGAGAAGAGGTCCGACATGAAGGAAAGTTGGCAAAGAGAATTACCCACCTGTCCCCAAAATTTGGGATGTGAACCAGTCAGACCACCAACTACAAAGCCGAACACAACCTTCAACATCCAAACAGCGTCCGCCGGGCCGAACTGCTTCGAGGTTTTCGCTGACCCTGCAGATTGCTGACGGAGTGGCCCAAGACCCCCTGTTGCCGAAAATGAAGGCGAATGCCTGCGTTTGCGCATTTGGGGGAGTTCGGTCTGCTCTTGCATGCGTCTACAGGACAGAAGGAAAATATCTAAGGTTGCAGAAACGAACTCTAATGACCCATTGTCAACCAACCGCATCAGCTGAGTCGCCGTGGGCACGCCGCGTGACACGCAGCGACTCATTCTGCAGGTCCTGCATTCAAAAAATAGACCCGAGGAGCGCGTGACCGTGGAAGCTGCACAGGGGGCATCCCGGAAGAAGATATTGTTCAAAGAATGTGCAGTTGGCATTGCGCTGCGCTTCCAGACCAGACGAAAACTTCGCTGGAGAACTGCTGCTATGCCAAACTTGTCTGCCTCAAAGAGCTCCACTACTCTATTGCAAACACGCAAAGACATGTCCTCATAAACGAATGAAGCAGGCGGATTCCGCCGACTGTTCAGAAGAGTGTATGGCTTTAAAATGGCCCTACCATGTATGTGGGCTTCTCAACTTCGTACAGAAAACGCAGGTTTCAAACATCTAGCCTACAGCAGCCACCACGCCTGCCTTGGTGTCGATATACGACTGCGCGGCCGAGATGGTGCGGATGGTTCGCACACCTCTGTAGGCAGGGTGCAAACACCAAAAAACTTCGGGTCGCCTAGACGAATACATGTTTTTTGCTAATTTTACTTCGTGGCTGCGGACGGTTGCATGATGCAACGGTGCGCATGACGCTTCTGAATGCCGACACCAACCCCTCAGTACCCTTCTCTGCATAGCACGGCACAGAACAGGCAAACCGAAAGCATTGAAAAAGGGTATAAGAATGCAACGATAGAGTGGCATGGGAGGTGCACCTTGAGGTCCCCTTTTTACAGCGTTCATATAGTGTTTATATAGGGCTTACATAGGGCTCATATCGGGTTTACATGGGGTTTATATAGGGTGTATTGGTATTTGCTTATTGCAAAATGGCCTTCGATGGGCTGGCGTGCTGACACCTTGAGCTCGAAGCTCGGCTCCTTCCGCAGCGCTGTGTTGTAGGGATGGGGGCTTCGAAGCTTCTGATGGGGCTTCTGATGCCTCTTAGGCCTGTTTTTGAGGGCTGACCACTCCCCTCCTCTAAAGTCTGTGCTCCTTGTAATAGCATTGGCCTCCCAAGTCCCTTCCCCTCCCCCTTTGTTTCGGGGCGCAAACACCTACACTTCCCTTTTTGAACCAGACTCTGCCCAACTCTCCTAAGCCAGCTGAACAACGATCAGCCCCTGCTGTAGCCTAATGTAGCCTACGGGCCTACCTTACACCCACAACACCCACAAACCTGCAATCTTTCCATCCTTGGCCGGCAGCAGCCACGTGGAGGGGTCACGCCTTGGTCTAGAGTCTTAGCTTCAGGGTTTAGGGGTTCAAAGACGCGTTTGCGCGTCTTTAGGTGCAGGATGCAGACCTGCGTGCGCAAAAACTCACAAGGGAAACCCAAACCGCGCCAAACCCCCAAATCTGCCAAACCCACAAGGCAAGCGGCCATGAGAACCACAGGTTGGTGTAGAAGAGGGTTACATCCAGCTCCACTCCGACATTCCGCAGCCAAGCCTGGATTTGGGCCAACACGTGACGCAGAGCGCCGAAGGCCAAGGGCTCGAGAACAGGCCCATCCCAAGCTTAGTGAGGCTTGGGGACTTAGAACCGTATCGAGAGGAAAAACAACACAAAGGCTGCCGGAACTCTTGGGACCGTTAGGGTTTAGGGTTTACGGTTTAGGGTTTGGGGTTTTGGGTTTTGGGTTTTGGGTTATTGGGTTTAGGGTTCAGGGTTTAGGGTTGAGGGTTTAGGGTTTCGGGTTTAGGGTTTAGGGTTCAGGGTTCAGGGTTTAGGGGGACGCAGGCCTGGCATTAGAACGTGTGAGGTCAGGTCCCCAAAACCCTTCTGGGCATGGAACCGGGTTGAGGCCGGCGTGAAACAAGTACTGAAACAACATTGCCTTCAAGAATGCAATCTTCGACGCCCCTTTTGGGTGCACCCGGGCCACTTGCAGAGTGCTGGGATCATGATGACGGACGGCCCGAGAATGCCACCAAAACCCGATGAACCGCTGAACCCTCCCGTCTCCGGGCCTTCTCACCGGTAACGTTGAAGTCCGCGCAGCGGCTGCACTCCTTCTTTACGAAACCATGGTTAACCCCCTCTGGCTCACGAAGCCTCAATATGCCTCAAATCGCAACCCTTGCCAGTTGCTCGGAAAGTTGCCAAAAACACACGGGCCATACCGATAAGAGTGTGAATACTCTGAATTTTACAAAATACCCCGGAAGGCATGTCCAACCCAAAACAAATAAATCAGGCAATGGGCCCGACTCCCCAAACTCTCACAAGTGGCCTGGTCCAGGTGCACTCCCGCTGCAGCAAGGAGGTCTCCGACACGAATCTCGCAGAATGCACAGGGGGATGCAGAAGAGCGCAGCACGCAAGCTCGGAAACCGTAACCTTTCAGCACGAAACCAAACCCCCAAAGATAAGGTTGCCCTCCAGTCCGGACTGGTTGGAATGGTGCAGAATTCTTCCACACTTCCATGTGCGATTGGAACAACCGCACAGAAAATCATGCTGCATCGAATGCAGAAAAATTGACACACCACACACACACACACACACACACACACACACACACACACACACACACACACACACACACACACACACACACACACACACACACACACACACCACACACACACACACACACACACACACACACACACACACACACACACACACACACACACACACACACACACACACACACACACACACACACACACACACACACACACACACACACACACACACACACACACACACACACACACACACACACACACACACACACACACAAACACACACACACACACACACACACACACACACACACACACACACACACACACACACACACACACACACACACACACACACACACACACACACACACACACACACACACACACACACACACACACACACACACACACACACACACACACACACACACACACACATCCTTCTTTCTTTTCTTTCTCTGTATTTCGCAGGGCTTCGGGTGTTGCTTCCCCGGCGCAGATGGCACGTTCCGGCTCTCTTTTGGCCGGGATTCGTGGTGGCGGAATCATCCCCCCCAAGCCCCCGTAACGTCCCGTAACTAACAGGCACTGCCCTGACTCCCCCTTATCCACTGGTGAAATGCCCAGCCTCTCTCTCTGCAAATGTCTTGGACCGATTTAGTCACCTGCTCACTTAACACGCAGATTCCAGATCTGTACGAGCCCTGGCAATCCATGTGCGTAGAAAAGGAGCCAAGGACTCGTGGGGATGGGTTGAGAATTCTGCAAGCCTGGGGGTCTCTAAGTCTCCACGCCCAGCCAAACATGAACCATCCAACACCCAACCTGCAGCCGTCGATCAGATCTGGCCGACTGGCCGAATCTGGCTGCAGGGTTCACAGGCACACCTTGGGCAGCATACCTCGTGATTTCTGTGTATTCCACTCGCACTGGGGCTGGAGTCTTAGGGACTCGGGTGCTTGGGGTTCTGCGCCGCAGGCAGTACAGCATGTCCTTGAAGCCTTGAACAGAAGTCATCCAAACCATGCTGCATTTGGACAAGCTCACCGAAGCCCTACCTTGCACCTTCACCCAGTGCCGCATCCGCAAGCATCCCCCCCACCCTGCACTGCAGAGAGAGTCCGCTGCGGAGGTGTTCAGATGGCATCAGGGACTACAAGCTTCAATGCAGGAAACCTATGCCGAGGGCTTCCGGAATGCCAGCTTGTGGTAGGGCCGTCAAACTTATTAATGTTCCGACCACATTGCTCCTGAGAGGCTCCACTGGAGAGCTGTAGCTACTCGGCAGCTGCTCTTGTCGCAGAAAACCTGCCGGGCAGGCCCTGAACCCAAATGTCCAAGATGTCCAAGACGCAAGGCTGACTAGTATTGAAGGCATCATGTAGCCTTCAAGGTCAGGGTCAGGGCTAGGTTTGGCTTGGTATCAAACTATCCGCTGGTCTCCTGATTCGCTTTTCAGTTCTGTTTTCTTCTGCGACGGGCATCCAAAGCACACCTAGCTAACCCCCACCCCTATGATTTAAAAGGCTTTAAAGCCCACACCCTCCTACCCAAAGGGCAACACCGCCCATCCACAAAGACAAACGGAAACAGAAAGATAAAAAGAAAGAGGAGGGAGAGAGGAGAGAGAGAGAGAGAGAAAAGAGAGAAAGACAGAGAGAATGAGAAAATGGTGAAAACACACACACACACACACATGTGATCAAGAAAAAGATACATAGGGAAAAAGAAAGATAGACGAGAAGGATGAACGAGAAAGAGAACGAGAACGAGAAAGACAATGAGAAAAGAAAGAGAAAGCGAGAGAGAAGATAAAGAGAGAGAGAGAGAAAGAAAAAAAAACAACAGAGAGAAAGAGAGAGAGAGAGAGATAAAAAAAATGTGCAAAAGAAACATACCAAAGAGAAAGAGAAAGAGAAAGGGAAAGGGAAAAGGAAAGGGAAAGGGAAAGGGCAAGAGAAAGCGAAAGGGAAAGAGAAAGGACAGCCCGTAGGTCTGCGCTTGGTGTTGAGGGTTTTAGGAACAAATGCAACCCCACCCGCCACGCCCCTCTAGCACCTCTCCAGCAATCTCAGTCTCCGGTTGCCCCCTCCCCCTTCCAGGGCACAACCTGTGGGTATGAGGATGATGGATGCCAAAGTTTCAGGCATGTTTTTGGGTGGCTTGGGCCGGCCCGTGCCGCTAGGCCTACAATATGCCTACAATGATATTAAAAAAAAAACATGAAGCCTTCTTGCGCACCCGGATTTCAAAAAAATGTCAGAGAGCTTACCGCAGCTCCACTCTCAGCCGGCCTTGAAGATCCTGGCCACTCCAAACCTTGGCTGCAATGCCAATGCTGCATGAAACTTGCTGCTGTTTCCACTAGCACGGCTAGCTCCATCCGATCAGACTATTGGCACTAGCACTAGCAACCAACAGCAACAACGAGGAACGATTTTAGGTGAGAACGCGTAGTGACCTAGTGTGCGTCTCGTCGTATTTCATAAGCTGTAGTACAACACCAGACCCGACCGACATGGCAACCATGCCCAAAACACTGGTATTTACAGCTTTTTAGCCTCTTTGTACATGATGGTGCCTCTTTGTACAAACAGACTGCACGTGGACGATTGACGTTTCTGGAACAAAACGTGCGGTCCCAAGCGCTCATGCCTTGTGCATCCTTTTGCGAACATGCCCAAATTCAATGCCTTTTGTGCCGCATCTCGACGACGATCACAAACGGGCATGCCATCGCGAATCGAATGCTGATCATCTAGAGACGTACAGACCTCTTGCGAAGCTCTGCAAAGCAGTCCTCGAAAAAGTGGCTTGTGCCCTAGCGGGAGCGTCATTATTCCCTTAAAATGCACACACTTACACACACTCATGAACGTGCACTCTCCCTGGTTTTGGGACATTTCCTGTTTCTGCAATGCCACCAAAAGCAGGACTCACACCAGGTGTTCTTACCTGGTTTTAGTCAAAAGTTCAACCGTTGAAGTCCGTTCTTTTGCTTTCAACTTCCACTTTGGGCGTGTTGAATAACCTTGTACAGAGAATGCTGAGCGCCAGCCAAATACCGTTGCTTTCAAAGGTCGTACACTTCGGGAAGGAAGTAATAACAATGCAGAGCAGTTACATCATACCCCAAGAATCTCAAGAGTTGCCTTTGTACCAGAACAGAGAATGTCAAAGACTAGCCCGGTCACTCCCAGGCCAGAGCTGAGCCTGTGCTCCATCACCAGGTTCCAGGCCTCTGGCTCGCCTTGGTTCCGGAACACGACACGTGAAGTCTCTCCAGTTTGCTTGCGGGTGTTTGTGTTCTTCGTGAGGTTTTGACCAGGCTGCGTTGCCGACGCATGCAGCACAGAGTTCTAGCAACATTTGGGTTGGTGACCGAGCACGCGGACTCCACTAGCGGAAGTGCTGTTAAATCATGAAATGGTTTGCATGAAAACCCTTGCATGTTTAAAACTGCGGGCACAATTTTTGGAAAGCGTTCCCCCAAGTGATTGATATATTCATACACGCCAAACATTGGGTACGATATCCGATTTTCACCACTGCACGTATGTCGGAACTCCACACTCTACAAACAAAGGCCACCACCAAAAGGCAATCCTGCAAAACAAAACCTTTTATCTTATCGTTGCTTCCGGCCAAAACATTCCAACGTCTTGCACGTTGAGCCTCGCACCCACATAGTATCGCAGATTCCGCGGCGCTGGTGCCGGGGGATCTGGTGCTATGCTGGGGCCGCCCAGGCGCTGCAGCGGCGGGCGCCCGACGCTGAGGGCTTCCTCTTATGGTCCCCATCGCCACCAATAAGAACAAGTTGGAAAAGCAAATCAACCTGCAAAGCCATAAAGCGTTTCATGCTGCAAGAGAAGGGAAAAAGCGTCCGCATACGCCTTCTCGACGGGTCACGGGCTCAGGTGAACCAAACAAGAAACAGAACAAGAACGAAAAAGGAAAAGTTAGAGATTTTACATACACAATGAAATCCCAAATGCCAATCAAAAGAGAGAATGCAGAATCTGAAATTCTTATGACTAGTCATATAAACAGATGAGTGAGGGAGTGCGAGAATGAGATAAAGAAACATGCCCGTGCCGCTATCCCAAAAACAAAAGAGTTGCACTTCAAAAGCATGCCAACCCAGCATAAGGAATGGGGCATATCCAAAGAACCCAAAAGGGTTCAGTAGGCAAGCGAGTGCCGTGATAAGCGGGTCACCTGTTGTCACAATGGGGCCTCGACGGACGTAGCCAGGAAACCCCGTGCTGATGACAACTCGCAGGCCTTGGCAATGGCACCCGCGCCGGCTAGCCACAGGAACTGTTCAAACTGGATCAAACCCGATTGCCTGCGATGACTTGGCAACCCAAGGTGGTTTTCCAGGAATACTTGACAGAGAATAACTATGTAAGACCATGGACGTATGAAGAAGAACCGCTGCCTCACCCACCTTAGTGCCTGACTTCTTCTTAAATTTCAATCTCCCCCAGCGCTGCCTGGAGCCAAGGCAATTCCACACAAAAACCTGAGCACGCCATGCTAGATTGAAGTTATGAGATGCTTGTGTGCTTTCATGCCACTCATAACTCGTCATGCAGCTGCAAAAACATATCGTCGCGCGCAGCGCTGGGGAACCAACTAACAAATTCCAAGCTCGCTAACCCCTCCACTCGACCGTTGCTAGGCCCTGCCTTGCAAGCTGCTTGCAAGTGAGCAGCCGGTGTGGTTCACGAGGGAAGCGCAACTCGGCTCTTTGCCTCTCAGTTCCGCCAGGCGTGCAAAGAGGATGCCGTCGCCGGACAAGCTCTGCCAGGCCGTAGAAGAAGCGCATCATATTCAACTCTTTTGCAAGCTTTAAAAGTTTTACATTTTTCCGCATACTTTAAAAAAAAATCAGGACAACTGTTCAAATAATGCGAGCGCGATCGCGCGTGATGTGCAGAACGGATCGGAAAATAAACAAACACCCAGGGCTACTTGTGCAAGTGCACGCGTGTACGTTTAGAAGGCATCTGCGATGAGATGATTGCAGCTGGCGGGCAGCACCACCTTGCAACTCTCGGGCATATCTTGGTCATTCAGTGAACCCATTGAAAAGCGGGATCGCTTCGGACCTCGGCAAAAGACGGGTGCGGGGTGGCAAAAGCGGACCCCCTGCAAAGCCTGAAGCAGTTCGCAGGTGTAGCCCGCCTGTGGCCTTGGCCTCGCGTCAGCAGCTCGGTTGGCCCTCGCTGTCTTCTGGGTGGCGTGGGCGGATGCCTTTTAGGTCGCCACGCCAAGGATGGTGGCGTCGCATTTTTTTTTCCCAGTCGCAGCAAGCTCATGCACATCACGCGCGTGTTTGTATTTTCGCGTTTGAGCCATGCCCAGAGCTCCCACACACGGCTGGTAACAAGACTCGTGTTGCCGCGTGATGCAGCCGCGTGGATGCCAGACCGCCCATTAAGGGGTGAAAAGACTGAGCGAATTTAATACAGAATGAGCGTGGTTTCCGTGAACAAGAGGGCTCCAATCGCCAGTTCATGCATTTCCAAGGTAAAACGCTGGGTCTTGTCACTCACACCTTGCCGAAGGACGGCTGGCGCGTTCCCGCCAAGAATCGCGCCGATCGTGCTTGGGGCTGGAGTGGGAGGCCGCTGGAATGGCACCGCGCTGCGGTTCGTCGATCGCCGTGCACGCGGCCGTTGGCACCGGCCAGTTTTCCCGAGACATGGCGGGCTCGGACGTCGCGCCGCTTCCGTTGGACCATGTCCTGGTGCCTGGCGTATCGGCTAGCCGTCTATGGCCATCTTCCCATGCGGCCGTCATTAAGTCACAAAAGTGTTACAGACATGCCTCAGCGCAGCCGGCTGTCCGAGAATGTCCGAGATGCAGTCCAGCCCGCGTGCGTCCGCCACCCCACGACGCACTGTGTCCGACGGAGTGCGGCTGGCTTCAAACGGTCGCTGGTTCTGGGCGATGCGTGGTTAGTATGCGTGCTCACGCACATGAGCAGGAAGAGCCATGCACACTGGGCCTCAGGGAGACGCGGTAGGTGGTCCCAGCAAGACTGCGCCGCGCGCACGCGTGTGCGTACAGGGGGGCCAAGCCGGACACCCAGCGCGGTAAACCTGCGCTGTAGTGGGTAGAGCGGCCACAGCGCCAAGAGTGTTCGCCCAGCTCGCTCACGCATGGTGGCGGCTCCCAGAATCGAGCATTGTACTCACGCATATTGCCCACATCGGACGCGATGCCGCCATGGTTGTGGGCGCGGGACGTGACAAGGTCCAGGCCGCAGAAAGGACATACAGGTCATGGAATTTATCGCAATGGAGGTCGTCCGCCGCACTGTGCACGACCTTGTGGGATTGCTTGGGGGAGGCGATGGACGGCAGCGACCCGTTCACGTCCACCACGCCTTGCCCGCAGCGTCGCCCCACACGTCGAGCCTTTGGCCACATCCGTGCCCTCACTGACCGCATTCGCCCAGGCCCAGCGGCAAGTGCTCCGGCACAAAGCTATCACCATCACGTCTGGCGGGAGGGTGGAAGCAAGCTCTGTGGGGTGAGCCATGCCGCTGCCTGCGGCCCTGACTGGCGTACTACTGGGATTGCAGCACGGTCTGGTGAGCAAGCTCCAGGGCCGGCAGCCGCACGCCATCAACGCAGGCGAGCGCTGCATACCCCGCTCGTGCTCCCCAGTACGCCACCGGCGCCGTGCGATCAGCGGATTGCAAGCCACGCTCTCCCGCACCGGGCTGCTGGCTGGGAGAGCGAAACTGGCTCACCGTCTGCCGCGGGAGGGCCACGTGGTAGCCACAGCGCCGACACCACCGCCAGGCCGACGAGGCGCTACGAGGCGTTGCCCCGATGGCGGGCGGCGCGCGCAGCGCCCTGACGCGCACGAGTTGCCGGACCAAGTCGCGCGCGTCCTGATTCCACCGGCCTCCAACCTCGGCGGCCAGGACGCACAGCCGCTGGCTTCCGCCGCGCCTTAGTTCCAGGAATGTGGCGCGCTTGCGGGCTTCCGATGGCTTCCGCCGTGCGGAGGGCCATCCCGGGGGTGTCTGCCGCATGGGGATGGGGCGTGCCGGCCGTGCTGATTGGGCTCACCAACGTGGCGTGACAGCACAAGGATGCACAAGGCAATGCCCTGCGGGGACGCCCCATATACGACCAGGTCGAGTCGTCGGCGGTCCTGCGGCGACACGCCTGCCACTGCTGTGGCACCACGTGGCCTTCCGCTCCGACCGCCTCACGGCAGACAACCATCCAGGCCCGGTCGACGAGTTTCGCCCTCCTAGCCAGCAGCCCGGTGCGGGTGCAAGCTAGAGCGTGGTCGCTCCACGCGTCGAGCCTTCTGCCACATCCATGCCTCGACTGACCGCATTCGCCCGGGCCCAGTGGCAATGGCAGGCGGAGCCTTCGCCGCAGAGCTAGCAGCATCACGTCTGGCGGGAGGGTGGAAGCACTCTCTGTGGGGATCGCCGTTAGCCGCTAGCCATGCCGCCGCCTGCGGCCCTGACTGGGACTGCAGCATGGCCTGGTGAGCAGGCTCCAAGGCCGGCAGCAGCACGCGTTCGACGCGTGGAACTGCCAGCCATGGGGCCAGTCACCAGGACCTGCGTCCCGGGCCGGGGGAGATGCACGCGAGTGACCGAGCAAGGACTCCCAAGTGGGGCAGGCATGCCAACCTTCCGTTCGCAGCAGGTTGGCTGCGGCCTGAGCCGCGCACAGGGCGGGGCGTTCAGGTCCGGCCAAAGGGAGGGGCATCAACACATGCGTGCGCGAGGCCTGGCTGCCTGGCACTCAGGTACCCCAGCGTGTCCGCCCACCCAAGCAAGCCCACAAGGTCGTGCACAGCGCCCGGTCGCGTGCCTCAGCATACGGACGGATGACCTTGGGCGGGACATTGCGCAGCGCGTGGTTGGCACGCGTGCTCGCGCACATGAGCAGGAGGAACCACGCACACTGGGCATCAGGAAGCTGCGGTACCTCATCTTTCCGCACGAGGGGCACGCGCCCTACAGTCGGGGTCTCAAATCATTTTCGCGGGCCCGCGCAATAGCATGCTCGCGGTGCCGCCCCCGCATGATCCCGATGCACCGCCTCATTCGCCGGAGACAAGAAAGCCGCGAGGCCGCCAACTTTCTTTGTTTGCCCAGGTGTCTCTGCCTGGCAAAGCTGACACTATATTTGGTTGTTTACTCGCGTTGTTTAGGCGGCTGGCAGTGGGGGAAGGATGGCGGAGTCGAGAACTCGCTGAGGACCGGCGGTCGTGACGTGACGCCACGTCTGACCCACCGATCAGCAGGTAGGGAAACCACATATTGCAAATCGCCTATAAGAGCGCAAGCATCGGTCAGACCATGTCGATCGTTGCATGCTTGTATCTGCGCTGAAACACGGTGGTTCCAACCATGCAAGATCACATGCCATTCTGCGGGCCAGTCTGCGCCACTTGGTGCACCAACGACAGCACGTAACATCCGCCGCTGAGCGACGTCGAGTTTGCGCAAGTCCGATCTATACACAGGCCGACAAACAAATGATTTCATTCATTTCGTGACAGAGCAATGAGCCGCGCAATTAGCCGTCGCATCTGATTGTTTCACTGCCTGCGCCTTATATGGGCCGCCTTCGGGCATAAGGCTTGACTGAATCCCGTCTTGGCTTGAAAACTCGATGAATTCATTCCAAGCGCTATGGCGGTGAGCTGTACCCGGACATCATGCAAACAACTTGCCTGAACTTTGCGAAGCTGTTGCTACTTCTAGTGCATGCCCAAACTGACTAATCCTTCCTTTCTCGCGAAACAGCGGCGACCAGTGACATCCTTATGCCTATCAAGGGTTGCTCACGCCACGATTGTGCATACCCGTGCCGTTTTGAAGACACATGGCGCTTGGGACTCCCGCTCCCGAAACGTCCGCGACGACACGAGCACGTCATCAGAAACGTGCCAAGCTGGGGGACTCAAAAAGAGGAATTGCTTTGCATCGCGAAAACATGCGTAAGCACAAGCGACGATATGCATGTCCGGCGAACACGCATGGTGTTACGAAGACACGTGGCATCGCGAAGAACAGTGGGCAAGTTGACAAAGAGGTGCGTAAAGCGCATGGGCTGCCATGAAAAGTGGAGCATTCAACATATTGTTGCGGGCACTACGCGAACTGTGATCGTGCGCGGCAGGTCATGCACACGGTTTGACTTAGCCATGCGAAACCTAGTGCATGCCAGATGCCTTACTTATCGCTTTCTGCCACGGTATCCTCCGCGTGAAAGCATCAGAACAACAGCCGCAAAGACATCGCTGCGCCCAAGATCGCCCAAGCAATGCAACATTGGCGGCAGTGACATCATGCGCTGCGCATGTCGTTGCGGTCAAGTTCGCGCGGGTGCTTCGGCTTTTCACTAAACGGGCACATTTGGGCGGGCCTTCGCTGGGCTTGATCGTCAAGTGCTCGGCTGGTTCCCCCGAATGCTATGCAGGGCACCCTTGCCACTGAACAACTCATGCGCAGGCCATGACATGCCTCAGAGGCTTACACGGAACCTATGGCATCTTCGGGCGGCTCCGCCAGATGTTGCCGAAGCTTGTCGAGCTTGTCTTGCGCCGGTCCCACTGTGTCTGTCACCAGTCGCTAAAGAGCCGTAGATGCGCTTGTCCCACGTGCATGCGACATGCACGTTGCCAACCGCGCTCGACGCGGGGCTCGACTCGGGTTGAGCTTGCAAATGCGGGGCTTTGGAAAGCGAGGTGCGTGTTCAACAACGCTGCAGAAATATTCAATGAAATTGCCTTGCATTTTCCTTCCGATGAAAGCCTGCAGCACATCTCGGTTGCGACCCTTTTGTGCTATGTCAAAGACCCATTGATGGGCACGCCTTCGTGCGCTGCGTTGAAAATGATAGAAAGGCCCTTGCAGGAGGTGCAGGCGGAAAAGTTGCCCCCTCTGCACGCGCAAGCATGGTCTGTCCTTGCAATTTGGCTGGCTTGGCACAGTGGCGCGCTTCTGGACCTGCAACAAAGTGCTGCGCCTTTTTTGCGTGAAGGCTGGGCCCGTGTGCAGGCCAGCCATGCATCACAAAACGAAACGAACGCAAAGCGCGTTGCGAGTGGCGAGCTCCGCGGGGATATGCGCCGGCACTAGCGACATAAAGCATGTTGCGGCGACACATGGCTGCACCAGACCAATGATACTCGGCTCACAGGGCGCTGAGAAACATGCCCGCATGTGCCATTTGGCAATTGTCTACTGTTAATGGGTGTGTGCGCCCTGGCGCCTTCAACCAAGACAGGGCATCCGGGGGCGGCTGTGCTTGAACAAGCCCAAAGCACCCCATTTACACGATTAGCATTGACTAGCCGCTTTCGGCCCTTTGAATCCTCGGCCAGTCCGGTGCCCACGTGCAAACGGAAAGGTTCCGGTGGAGTAAGGGTGGGTCACGAGGTCCTACTCGTGTCGACCTGGACGCGCACATGGGCGAACAGGTGCTGATGTCATGAACATGTTTCGGGCATACCTCGAGGTGCAAATATGCCACCAACTTATCATTGGGCCGTGGTGTCACGTGCACCGGACACGACAGTTCTCAAGTGTTTCAATGTTGTGAAAAAGCCGTCTGAAGGGTCACAGCAAACCACCGGCACTTCACATCCTCTTTGAATGGGAGACACTTTTGGGCCCACCGATTCCACAAAACATAGTAACCAGAACGTCAGCCAGCGCACGCTGCGCGCGAAAGCCGCCCGTGACCTGGTTGCCGCTTGGAAAACTAGCAAACTTTTGAAAAGCAAACAAAGTACATCGTCACATGGGATAAGATGCCTGCATATGCCTTGCAGCGAGTCCGCAGCCAGGGCCACGTTTCGCAAGGCCCGTGGTGCATGGTCACTTTTTCCCGGTGCCACACGAAAGTCATGCTGCAAAAACTCACCAGATGTACCAACAAGCTCAACTCGCCAACCAAGATGCATACCGATCGTTCTGGGTGGTGTGGGTCAGTGTGTCCGTCTATCAGCACCCATCACACCGGCCTATGCTTTTCAGATGACCGCAAAAACGCATCTCATGGCGGCGATGCAACAGCAGTGCGAAAAGGACCGCCGGCGCAAGGCAGTCTTCACCATGCTGAACCCTGCAGCTTCACAAGAACGCGGCATCCGGATGAAGGCTGGGCTGCAAAATCTTAATGCCCCATGCTTAATTCTTAAAGTTTAACAGACACGTCGCATATCACACTAAACCTGCAACGTGTGGCTGTTCGCCAAATTTCTGTTCGGCACATGCTTTGCGAAGCTTAGTGCCACCATGTGATGACATTGGGCAAAAACAAGCATGCTTGCACTTGGCGACGTCAACAAGCAAAGCTGTTAAATCAGAAAACCCAAATAGAGAGCGACCTCAACAAACTTGTCAATTTGAAACATCACAACGAACAACACACTGCTGACCGGCCATGTGAGCAACAGCTCAAGCGAAGGACGAAAACGTTTTAACCTCAAAACGAACAATTCTCAATCCCAACTTGCAGCCTCGAGAAGCAAATGGCTCTTGCTCGTGATGGCTGTGTACACAACCTGGCAATACATGCAGAACCCCTTCGGTGACTTGGCGAATCTCTGGTCAAGTACAAGCAAAATAGTGGTCGTGCACCAATAAACGATGCCCCAGTCTTGAAGGGAACCTTTGGGCTGCATGCATGTTGCTTGGCCCCGGGCGTAGACGGCAAGCGCTCCCGTGAGTACCCAATAAACACCTGTGTCAATGTGGAGCAAATGCATGCAGCTCCGCAACATTTGTTTTTGCTCGCAATATATGCAGCCAAAACGCTTGACAATAGTGGCGAATACAGCACACAGCGCGTGTAAGTGGCGTAAGCCATCAGCACTGATACGATGACTACCCACGCCGGACTCAATGAAATTGGTATCTCACACCATCACACAGAGGTTCGGTCTTTGCGAGCTGAAAGGATTGAAGTCCAAACAAATGCACAACGTGCCTACGTGCAAACATTCGATCACAATGAAAACACACTTGTTGGCCAAAAAGCTGCAGCGACCGAATCCTCCGAGTAGCTATTCATGGCTCATCATCACAAAAGCCTGCCTCCAAACTCTGGTTTCTGAAATCTCGAGCAAGGTCCCGGCGGGGGGTTCGAATTTTTTCCGTGGTGTGCAAAGCGTGCAGCGTGCGGTACACCCCTTGGTGTTGGGTACGTGAGACCGTGCCGGCTAGCATTCTTTGGGTGATTATGGGACAGGAGGAACCTGGGTTCAGCCCAGGTTCGAACTTTTGGCAAATTTGCGGGGGTGACGCGGGGGGTGGGACAACAACATCGAGAACCTGGGTTCAATCCTCCTTTTAGGGGTCTATCGGAAAAGGCATAAACCCCTACCCCTACCCGTCTACCCTGAGGGGGATAGACCCCTATTTCTAGGGGTCTGTCCGAAACCGATAGGTACCTCTAGACAGGCAGCTGCCATAGGTAAGACAGGGGCCTATGCATAGCGGGGGGGGGGGGTGCTCTGGCATAGACCCATGCGCGCGATAGACCCCTAGGTCCCAAACCCTCAACCCTAAAACGCCCTGAGCCCTAAACCCTAAACAACCCTAAACCCTAAAACCCGTTAAGCCCTAAACCCTAAAAACCCCAAAAACCCCAAACCTAAACCCCAAAAAGCCCTCAACCCTCAACCCCAAACCCTAAACACCCCAAAACCCTAAACCTAAAATACCCTAAACCCCAAACAACCCGAAACCTTAGACCCGAAAATCCCAGCCCTAAACCTTTAAAAAATCCCTAAACTCGAAAAGCCCCTGAGCCCCCTGCAACCCAAAAAAAACTAAGCATAAGCCCCAAAAACCCTAATCCCTAAACCCAAAAGGAAACCCTAATCCCAAAAGAACCTTAACCCTAAACCCAGCCAAAAAAACCCAAACCCTAAAAACCCTACCTAACCCAAAAACCCTTATCCGAAACCCCAAAAAAACAACCCTAAAAGAACTCCGAACCCTAAAAGCCCTAAACCCAGCCCTAAACCCAAAAAAGCTCACACACTTTACTACGCTCGTTTGTAATTAAAATAATGTGTTCACGGGTGCGTCTCATAATAGAAAATGAAGAGAAGAGCTCTGTTAATAAATGATCGGTAATTCTTTATCAAAAAGATAAAAAAAGGTGAACTCAATTTCTGAGATATGAAATTTATGAAAGGCCCGGGGCTCTTTGTTCTTATTTTATAGCCCCGGAAAATTTTAATAGAAAAGAAGAGAGTAAGGAAGATGAAGAGAAAGAACTCATGACTTTTATCACTTGTCCGTAGATTTGGATTACGTTCATTCGCTGGATATGGTCACGCGGGAATAGAAATGAATGTGTGGGCCCCAATAATATGGTGTGGGAGGCTAATGTTCATTATTGTGTTGTCACCTTGGCCGGCTCAAGCGGTCTGCTGAAGCTTTCAAAACCCTTCTAAATCACGAGTTAAAGAGCGGTTCCAGGTGCTTTCGCTTAGCACTGCTTCTAGGTAAAAGGCGCCAAGTGATGATAGGTGGCGGCAGGTTCTTTCATTTGCAGCTTGGTGCGGCAGTGCAACTCTTGCTTTTCCACTTCAGTCTTTTGTGCACAAGCTTCCAAGCTGGTGTACAGTCAACACTGGGGTAACCATCTTGTGCTCCGTTGTCCAACAAGACTGCAAATGTGCTTTTCTGCCACTGCAGCCACACAACCCAATTAGAGTGCTTGGCAACAGCTGATTTGCTAGAAGTAAAAGTTGCCCGGCAGCACATATCGCCCAAAGCAGCGCAACCGCGAAAACGTTTAAGCCACACACGCTTTATTTTGAAGCTCTGTTACAAAGTGTGACCTCCAACTTCTGCCACTGTTGAAAACTGGCACAACAAGCATCGACTTCCTGGAATAAAATTCCGGAGCAGGAAGGGCGACGTTGTCGCTTGTGTAAGCAATGGCTGTATGATCCCCCGAAAAACCCACGAATGTACATTCCACTGCCGGCTGCCCACAGAAGTCGCTTCTTGCGAAAGCTCAGAGGCTGTTTTCGGGGTCCTACTGGGCTCAGGGTAGGACACCTTTTTCTCCGCGCTTGAAGCCTCAAAAGGGCTGCGGTGCGCAGTGGTGTCTATACAGCGTAGGGGGGTAGCCTTTAGCTCAAGCCCTCGAGTGTTGGGCAAGCTACTTACAGGGGAGGCCCACACACGCGAAGCCAGAATTGCTTAGATTTTTCGACCCCAGATTTGGAGTCGCGTAAACTGGCAAACATGTGTACAGTACAGGAACGACTTGGTCTCCTAGGACTTGCTGAAAATCAAGCCCCAAAAAACAATCTCGAAACCAAACAAGTTGGCCTGATGTGGCCTCAAACCCACACGGTCTTGCTTTGTTGCGACACGTTTGTGGCCTGTTGTGGCCTGACGTGGCCTGAAAACCACACGTTTGTGGCCTGTTGTGCCCTGACGTGGCCTCAAAAACACACGTTTGTGGCCTGTTGTGGCCTGATGTGGCCTCAAAAACACACGTTTGTGGCCTGTTGTGGCCTTGTTGTGGCCTCACGGCATATTTTTCCCCGGAAAATGCATTTGTGGCCATGGGGACTCGGGACCCTATAATACTATGTGGCATGGACCTTTAGGGTCTATTTGGCACGCCCCTTTGTTTACTATTTACAAAACTTCTTGAAAGTAGTAGTGGTAGTAGTAGTAGTAGTAGGAGTAGTAGGTAGTAGTAGTAGTAGTAGTAGTAGTAGTAGTAGTAGTAGTAGTAGTAGTAGTAGTAGCAGTAGTAGTAGTAGTAGTAGTAGTAGTAGTAGTAGTAGTAGTAGCAGTAAATGTAGATCCAGCCGGCCAACAGCCAGACTTAGGCAAGCACCCTCGCTTCGTGTTTCCTGTGACTTGGTAGGGTCCAGAGGTTTGTCGTATGTCCCCTCCCTTCGTCCCTTCGTGTTGTAAGGGTTTTGTAAGGGCTTTGGAGGTTTGTGTGCTTCCCCTTTCTCGTTCTTATAGGTTTTGGGGGAGCATCAAAATGATTATCATATATGATGTGTTTCCGTGCTCGTATTATGAGGGCTAGTGCCTGCCCTAGAGGTTTGTCGTATGTCCCCCCGCTTCGTGTTCCTGTGATTTGGAAGGGGGCTAAAGGTTTGTCGTGTGTCCCCTCCCTTCGTCCCTTCGTGTTGTAAGGGTTTTGGGAGGGTCCTGGAGGTTTGTCGTATGTCCCCTTTGTTCGTGCTTGTAGGGTCTGGGGAGTGTGTAGATGATAATCACATATCATGTGCTTCCGTGCTCGTATTATGAGGGGCTAGTGATTGGCGTCAGATGACGCCCCCGCTTCGTGTTCCTGTGATTTGGTAGGGGCCTAAAGGTTTGTAGTGTGTCGCCTCCCTTCACTCCTTCCTATTGTAAGGGTTCTGTGAGGGCCCTGGAGGTTTGTCGTATGTCCCCTTTCTTCTTGCTTGTAGGGTTTGGGGAGCATCTAGATGATAGAGGTTTGTCGTATGTCGTCTCCCTTCGTCCCTTCGTGTTGTAAGGGTTTTGTGAGGGCCCTGAAGGTCTAGGGCAGTTACTAGCGCCTCATAGTACGAGCACGGAAGCAAATGATAATGACAATCATCTAGACGCTGCCCAAATCCTACAAGCACGAAGAAAGGGGACATACGGCAAATTTGCAGGGCCCTCACAAAACCCTTACAACAAGAAGGGACGAAGGAAGGGCACATACGACAAACCTCTAGGACCCTCACGAAACCCTTACAACACGAAGGGACGAAGGGATTGTATCTAATTTCGTATATGGTAAAATGACATACGACAAATCTCCAGGACCCTAGCAAATGACATGAACACGAAGCAGGGAGACATAAAACAAACCTCTAGGGCAGTCACTAGCCCCTCATAATACGAGCACGGAAGCAAATCATATATGATAATCATCTAGACGCTCCCCACGCCCTACAAGCACGAAGAAAGGAGACATACGATAAATCTTCCAGGTCCAACAAAACCCTTGCAACTCAAAGGGACGAAGGGAGGGGGCACACGACATACCTCTTTAGGCCCCTACCACATCGCAGGAACAGAAAGCGGCGAGACATACGACAAACCTCTATGACAAACACCAGCCCCTCATAATACGAGCACGGAAGCAAATGATATATGACAGTTTTCTAGAAGATCCCCAAACCCTCTAAGAAGAAAGAAAGGTGACATACGACAAACCTTCCCCCAACAAAGCAATTTCAACACGAAGGGACGAAAGGAGGGGACATTCGACAAGTCTCTGGCCCCTACCAAATCTCAGGAACACGAAGCGTGGGGACATACGACAAATCTCCAAGGGCCCTCCGAAAAATTTTATCAGCCTTACAACACGAAGGGACGAAGGCAGGGGACATACGACAAACCTGTAGGCCCCTACTACATCACAGGAACAAGGAAGCGGGGGGGGGGCGCATACGACAAACCCCTAGGGCAGTCACTAGCCCCTCACAATACGAGCACGGACTCAAGTTATATGTCAGTCGTCTAGACGCTCCCCAAACCCTACAAGTGAGAAGAAAGGGGACACACGGCAAATTTGCAGGGCTCTCACAAAAACCCTTGCAACACGAAAGGACGAAGCGAGGGAACGTATGACAAACCTCTAAGCCCCTACCAAATCACAGGACCAAGGAAACGGGGGGGACAAATGACAAACCTCTAGGACAGCCACTAGCCCCTCATAGTTTGAGCACGGAAGCAAATCATATGTGACGATCATCTAGACTCTAGACGCTCCCCCAAACCCTACAAGCTCGAAGAAAGTGGATATACGACTAGCCTCCAGGGCCCTCACAAAACCCTTACCACCCATACAACGCGAAGGGA